TACCAACTTATTTATTTATTTAGCTATTTATTCTTCTACTTATGCACTTATTTATGCCATAGAAATAAAGAACTATGATACAATGACACTCGCCACTGCGTCTCGTCTGTCTACCTATACAACTAACCTCTGTCACACAGTAGAGTCATCTCCACTCAACACCTACTCCAAGCCTTGCTTCTAACAGGGTCCTGTACATCTCCTGCTCACTCTTCTTACTTTCACCTGATTAAGGATAGACTTTCATTAATGTCTTGTTAATATGGTGCCTGATGTCGTCATCACAGTTATGTCTCTCCCCTTTTTCATCAGTATTTTCCTCCTCCTTTTCCAATTTTCAAATCTGTAGGCGTCAGGACACGGAAGGTATTGACTTATTCCATCATGTCCACTAGACGGCCACAAACACAGTCAGATCATCAGAACACTTTTTCTATAAAGACAGGTCACAGAGTTGGGGTTCTTCATTCTGGAGACCGCTCCAGGAAAACCTTACTGTGGCCTTTCAACATTTCAGTGTACCTTACAAAAAACCAAGAAAAACCAGTTTTGCACAGCATCTCCAGTGACAGGCAATGGACCACAGGGAGCATCTCTAAACTGAAATAGAGTAGGTTTATATCAGGCATTTGAAAGAAATCCTTTACTATGAGGATTGCGAGGCACTGGAACAAGTCCTAGAGTTAGCCAGATTACCACGTCCTTGGATGTGTCCAAGGCCAGACTGGATGGGGCTTTGTTCATTGTGGTCCAGGAAAAGGTTTCCCTTCACATGGCAGAGGTGCTTGCAACCAGATTACCTCTTCCAGCATAAAACATTTTAGGACTCGTGCTGAAGTTTTAGAAGACTGTGGAACCAAAACGGGAGCAGGCAAGAGTATGAGGAGGGAGGAGCAGAAGAGCGATGGCACAGAAGGCAGTCCCATTCCCTATCCTCCTATGCCACATGGGAGATGAATGTAGAGACAATCATGAATGAAAGTGAGTCCCAGAAAACATGAGAGGTGAAGGCAATGTGTTCTGTAGATTTGGTTTAATTTCATTATCCACCTGCCTGTTGCCCTGATTTGTTTGCTAATGAGTTAAACTGATTTCCCCAAGTCACATCTCTCTTGCACATGACCGTAACCAGTGACTAATTTCTCCCTGTACTTATCTTACTCCACATGTCTTTCAGGATGTATTTTCTCCCTTGACCAGATGAGGAGGGGAGTGATAGAGCAGCTTGGTGGCCACCAGGCATGTAGCCTATGTTAATACATTACAATATGTGTCTCCTGGCCCTGCAACTTCAAATATTTTGCACCTTGTTGCCACAAAAATAATTCCATGCACTTCAGTTGACAGTTCATCAAGTATCATGACTTTCTCTGGTAAAAGTCTTTATCCATTTGCTCAGCTTTGGGGTTCTTTTTCATTCAGAGTCCACAGTCTGACAGGGCATTGTCTGAGTCATCCCTGTACTCCCCTTTAAACTATCTGACTCTGGCTGCTCCAAGCTCTCCACAGAATACCTGTATTCGGGCCTTACATTATGGCATTAATCCAGTCTTCTCAGATCACTGCCCACTGCTCCATTTCTCTACAGATACACTGCATCAATCTAGTATGTAACTGTTCTGAGCTGCCTACTACCAGACCTTTTCTCCAAGTTCCTTACCCTAGATTTCTGATAGGAGAATTCTTTATAACTTTTCAATCTAGACTGAGGCTTTTTTGAATCCATCTGAGAGCTCAGTCTGTCTCATATGTCATTTGTATTCTGGATTCAGATAAGGAAAAAAAACTTTGCACACTCTCCCTCCTGCAGCTCACCTGCGTTTGTTGTCATGATGCATATGCAAAGATCTATACCTATGAGCACACCCAAAATCTCTCAGATACACCTACTGGCTACCAACTTGTGTACTAGCTGTTCAACCTTAGGTCTTGGTAGAAGAAAACACTTAAGACTTTAACTAGATTAGACAAAATGTCAATGTTGCTACAAAAATTAGACATTTCTCCACTCAGGAGCAAAGAGTACACTTGTGTCTATTTAGAGATTTTCAGCTGAACAAATGTATCATGCAACAGTTGCTCTGTATCAATTTACACAATTATCATGTAAATTTAAAAAGAAAGAACATAGAACATAAGGAAAAGCTCTTAACCACCATTAAATGAACAAATTTATGTGGCACCAATGACCAACAGTGAAGACAACTTGTTTAAAACTTAAGCAAGTCATTTACTTACCATTGGCAGTCTGGATTGAAGCATCTGGAGATCATCATAACCATAAATCTGCTTAAAGACAGATAAAAATACAACATCATTATAATACTTTTTTCTGATGCTGATCAATTTGGGGCTTTGAACTGAGTTTGACTTAAGCCCAGTTTGTGTTAAAGGTCTACAACCATATGTTGCATTGTGCCATCATAGGGCATTGCTGCATTTCAAAGAGAGCAGAACTGGAATTAAAAAGGCTTGTCACACTGATGTTGTTTCCTGGTGACAACATCCTCTGAGGAGAGTCTGACTGTCCATCTTCAATACAGTTTTCACAGACACATCATTCCTGAACTTATGAAAAATCTACTGAGCATTCAGATGTTGGAGCAAGAACAACAGACAGCGCTCTTTGCTGTAATCATTGCTTCAAAGACCATTAAGATTAAATAGCTGATGACTTGACCACAACACAACCTCCCGGCTATCTCCTCACATTCAGTTTGATATAGAAAAACTACTCATATAAAGGTTCAGATTCAAAAAACAGATAACCAAAAATACGTTGATGCTAGTCAGACATCAAAAAACTATGTCCAGGCTTTCAAACCATGAGACAGGACACATGGCACATTTCAGTCACTGCTACGGCAAATCTATTCCAGTGACATAAACCTAAAGAAGCCTAAATTTATTTAAAGGGCCTAAAATCTGTTAACACTGAAAACCATAGCCACATAGACCCATGTCTAGCTTCAACAGCAGCCAGATCAGGTCTGTACCAAAAGCTCTGCAGTTTGCAATCAACAGTAAGCATCTACTGAACATACTTAGTAAGTTCTTTAGCATTTGGAACAAGAATTCCAGGTGTAACATGTGCCACCAGAAATGCCTTGGCATAGACAGTAGCAGGTCTGGAGGGCCCACTTGCGCCACAGGCTAAGAAATCAAAGACAGAAACAATGAAACTGCTTACTGGGTAGGCAGGCAGAAGTCCTCCAGGTCCCACAATATACTGGTTATGCAACAAGGGTGGTACACCTTGGGGCAGGTTTGGGGGAGCTTTGCCTGTAGAATCAAAATACAGACACTGTAACAAGCCTTTAGAAAAGAAAAGGCTTCAGCATTGAGACAAGATAGCTCACAAGCTGTGGCAGCTGCACCATCTTAGATTATAAAAAGGAGATTTTGTGATGTTTGATGAACATGCTCGAAATAGCCTGAAGAGTTTAACCATACCTCAAGAGGGGGAAAGTACAGACTACTTAAGCCTGAAAACAGTCCTATCAGAAAATAGCCTAATTTTGTCATTTACTTTGTCCAAGAGGATTACAAGAATTACAGGAAACTTCTCTTTTTCTCAGTCCTTTCCTGAAGGCAAATTTAAAAATGGTTCTCCATCTGAGAGAGCAAGGTCTGTCCTTTCATTTCCTGCTCTGTCAATGCATTCCTTTTATCAGCAGCAATAGACTAGAAAGCACTAAATGTTGCCAGCATGCTTTATATGGGCGACTTAAGACAGCTAAGAATAGCAAAGAGAAGACTGAAATGGTTTCAGCTATCTTCATGAAGCAGTGCTAGGAAGCAGAACAGTAAAAGAACAATGTACTTTGGCCAGTCATAAGACACTTAACTTACAAGCTATAGAAATGAGAAATACTTCTGTAACTAAGCTTGATCCTTAGTAATACATCATTCACTTCTCTCTGTAAGATTTCCTTCTAGCAGCTCAGGATCATCACAGAAGAAAGAGAATTTAGCATCACTTCCACTTAGAAGCCTCCCAGCCCTCCTTCTCCATGGACCCTCCTTCTGAAGTGCTATTTGCAATGACCCAGACTTTTTCTTTCCTTTCTGTAGAAGTGGCTGTAGGGATATGACATATGATAATGAGGACACTGCAGCATATTCTGATACTGCCGAATGAATTCAAGTCACAGAAAAGCCAGAAACTAAAGCTTATGTGAATTCACAGTTAGAAGCTGATCACAGCTTGGAATACAAACTGGGTGAATTTTCTAGTCCAAAATGTCCCAAGTCAGAACTGCTCTGGTGTGTATTTATAAAGCTCTTTGAAGATAGAATGTGCTGTATAAATGCCACATAACACCCTAACAAATATTTCAAATACATAAAACCAGGCAACTTTATTTCATAAGCCAGCAAATACAGCATGCTGGAAATGCCAGTGAAGAGTGTGAACTTCTTAGCGTTGTTATGGCGAGTGAGATGCTCAACTGACAGCCCTGCTGACTTGCTGACTGAAATCCTCTGTCTATCCACGTGATCTGTCAATATTGCCAACCTGAAGACACTAAGGGAGCTGCCCGTGTGGTAGCAGCTGGTATAGACACACTGGTAACACTGAGGCCAAGGCTGTTTGTAGTGTTCATACTGCTTGCCATGCTGACAACCGAGGAGGTGGTGCTAGTGGCTGAGGTTGAAGCAGTTGAAAAGGTTGTTGAGGGCTGGAGCGAAGTTGTGTTCTCAATACTAGTGTGCTAGAAAAGGAGACAAAAAGAATGAGGATCGCAGAGCAAATAAACCACAGTGGAAGATGCTGGGGAAAAGGGCAAAAAACAACAAAAAACAAACCCAACTTTCAAAAACTTTTGAAATAACAGCGACACATGCAAAAGATATGCATTATCTATGTATCAAGCAAGCAACTAAGTTGCATGCTTGTGATGTTTTTGCGATTGAAAGGAAATTATTGTACAATCTAAACTCAAATTGCTACACTATCTGTAATACAGTACTCCTGTATTACTACTGTAATACAGTAACTCAAACATAACATATATTATTCCATCACCTGCGTTTTGTCAACCAACCTCTCCAGTGCAGACTGCTAGCAGTCCATATTTTGGAGACGTTTCAGATTGTCACCTTGAAGTTTTTGTTTTGTTTTTTTAATAAACTAGTTACACACAATTTTTTTTTTATTTCATCCTCCCTAGCTGGCATGACAATTTCCCTCGCAGCTGTGTGACTGGCAAGTCTGTCATAGCTATTCCTGATCTAGTACAAATCACAAGTGGTAATCACTTTTCCCCCACTAGAGGGCTGAGAGTCCTCCTTCCTTGAGGTAAGGGTCTTGTTTTGGTTCTTGGGGTACTGAGATACATCCAACTTTAAGAGATGGTCTAATTATGAGATAAACTATTTGCCAAGCACTTGTTTTAATACTAACTTACCACATGTGATGTGCTTGAAGACAACACTGAGGCAGGAGAGAGGCTGCTCTGATGATTGGAAAGGGAGCTGGAAGGCAATTGTAAAGAATTAAGAAAACTCATTTTCTATTTTTAACAAATACAGATATGCAGTAAGACATTAGTTAAAAAAATTTCTAGGTGTGTGTGCACACCTAGAATAACAGAGTAGTTAAAATATTCAAGAGTGTGAGTGTAAGAGTGTGTGTATACATACACACAGAGGCATGTGTGTGTATGAATATAGACACTTCTACAGGCACTTTCTCCTTTAATTAGTATCCTATTACCTTTTAATGAAAAAAATAAAGTAGAGTCATTATTATTAACAAGAAACATCTAAACCACCACTCATTTGTATTTTTCAATTTACTGCACCTTTAGAAAAACTATAGTTGCTTCAGGAACCAAATAGTGATGACTCCATGACACACAAAGATCAAAGTCAAAACAAGGTTCACACAAGCAGAAGCCCTGTTTCTCAATCTTTTTCTGCTGTTTACGATAGGGAACAAGTTTTAAGTGAGGAAGTGCTTTGATTTGACTCACGCTGGTGTTTCTCACATTTTGAGCTGCATAACACTAACTCAACCAATTAGAACTGCCGGGTATTTGGCCCATAATTCATCCAGAGATCTTAAAACGTCTTCCTGAAAGGTGACTGAAAATGGCACTTAAACATTTAAGCTGATAAGTTATACCCGATATTCGAGGTAAAGAACGTAACCCACTGTATATAGTATGCAATACACTGAACCAACATTGAAGAAAGGTAACCAAAATAAAGATATAAAACTCATGCATAAAGTTTGGTGCTCGAAAAAACCCCTCCTTATTAAATAAGAAGCAGGAGAGATCCTAACAACAAAATTAGTTTAGTGCTCTCTCTGAATATAGCCACAAGAAAGCACAGAAGTTTTCATACCAAAGCTGACAGCTACATTATATGACCTAATTTTAGGATAAACACTTCTGGTAGCTCTTCAAGGCCTAGGCCCAGAATAAACTTTTACAGTTTCATAGCTTAACTTTCAAAACTTTTGCTTCTGCAGGAATTACAACAACATCACTTTAGGCAGCAAGGGAAAACATAGCTCAGTCCAACATAAGAGTTTTATCCCACTCCCTCACCCACTCTTACTGGGTCTTTTGATAAGCCTTAATTCACAGTCCGACCTAAGATAGAGACACAGACCACAAGTATCAGCTCTACCATGTCAGACACATTTGGAATTCAGGCATCCTGATGACGGCTTTGTATCTGTCCAACAGCACAGACTCCCAGCTGAAATTTCCATCCATTTATACAGTTTTCAACAAATCAGTGTGAGAAATGTGATCAATGTAAAGAGAACAGTTCTTGTTTGACATGTTTACTATTTTATTCAACAAAAAAATACTAGAGTGTAAAAGAAAATAAAATATGTCCTAGCTGTGAAACAGAAAAAACACTCTGATATCTCAAATCAGTTTCTTGTATCAACAAATATAGTAAAAACGTGAGTATCAAAAATATAACTCAATACAGCTTCAGGATGTCACCTTGATGCCTTTTTCAGCCTTACCTCAAAACAGAGGCCAGACAAAATTAAGATAATAAAAAGTGGCTGTATTTATTGAAAGGTCTTCAGTACATTAAGAGCAGATGAAGCCTCCCAGGGGCTACACCCAAACATGGATGACCAGTCATGAATCTTCATGATTTTATAAGCTTGGTCCATTTGCATATTAGGGGGTTAATCTTTCAATTACAACTTCAGGTAATGAAGTAATTTACCCCAGGTTTGCTCCCCACCAACTCACTTCTGTTTATACTTTTCAAGGCCTGAGACAGTAAGGTGTCCTTGAGTCCCAGGCCTAGAGAGGAATTGTTTTGTCTGATCAAAATGTGAAGACAGTAGCTAACACTTTATACGGAGTTTAGAGTTATACACTAAAGAATTGCAGAATCACAAATATATGAAAAATATAAAAGCTAAAATCCTAAGGCATCAAGCTGACTGAGGATGTAACAGGCATTCAGAAAAACAGAGAGACAGTGCAAATGAGCTGAATTGTGCTAGATGCACTTCCAGGAACACCAATCTGATATTTTGAAGTATCTCAAGGAAACATCTTAGAAAAGAAAACACACACAGTTTTCCCTGTGAAATTATTTCTGGATTTTAATTTTAAGAAATACAAACATAAATGAGACTACACTATTTCAAACTGACCATGTAGTAAACTGTTAAAGAATTATTTCAAATATATGACACTGAACAAAAACAGCAGGCAAAAAGTAGGAAAAATTAACTGGGGGAATCAATTTAGCTGATTTAGCTAGCATGATTGAAGCAAACCTCTTAAACACAAAGTTGTATATGTATCATGAAAGCTTGAGGGCAGCAGCTGCTCTGCCATTAGGAGGCAGCCCAGAGCTCATGCAACCAGAAACATTCTGTTTTCTTGTGAAACTCTCTCCAAATTCTGGTTCACATCAGCAAAGGGAACCCTGGTGCCTGACAGCCCCATATGGAACCACCCTCACACCTGTCCTATCCCCAAAACTGACCCCCCCAGGTTACCACAACTTTACCTGCTCAGCTGGGAGAGCGAGCTGCTGGCCAGATCACTAGACTGAGGCAAACTGGGCAATGCTGCCACGTGCTGTGATGCTGAAGACAGAAGCGAGGCCGTGGTGGACACCACACTGGGCAGAGAACCAGACGAAGGTAGTGAGGGGGAAGGCTCTGTCTTGGGTGCTGATGAAGTAGCTGCAACAAGTTAAAAAGAGGCATTCAAATTAAAATTCCAGCATACTTGATGTCCCAGCCCAGATGGCAGGAACATAGTAGCATTCTCCCCTTGATCTGTAAAAATCTGATCTAAGAACTGGCAACTGCATCAAGCAATTTGGCTATGAAGGAAAACTCAAACACAACTGAACTACCATTTTTTTCCCTTTAAGATCTCTACTTATAATAAATTTACAATTATCACTGCTATACATGTAGTAAACAACCATCTTCTGTACTTCACTTGCCACTATCTGGATTACTAACTTACACTCAAAAGTTATTTTAAAATTCCTTGCTTTTGGTTCAGCAAAAGCAAGTCACTTCTGCCTTTCCAGAGCACTGTACAACTCTAGTTTTACCTACAACTCTCTTTATTCAGACCTACAAAGCAGGGGACCAAGATGGAGATTGATGGAGTACAGGGATAGATAACTTATCACTTTCAGTCAAAAGTGTACTGCAGTAGAATGAAAGAAGCTAAAATGAAAGGCCAGAATTGAGCACAGCATTAAGCATTTTTTATGGCTAAGGAATTGTCAAATATTGATTCATTTTACTTAGATAATTTAAAGTGCTAAGTTTTATCTTACGCTTTTTAGGCTACACAGATTAAAACCTGCTTATAGGATCACTATACTGTAATAAAATGCTTAAAAATTCTACTGCCCAACATGATTCCCAGCTGTTCCACTTATTTCTTCTTCTACAAAAATAACAAAGAATTAGAGACACTCATTCATCAATACAACTCAGAGTTGAGCCCTACCTTCTGCTGGGTCATGTTCACACACCACACCAGGGACCACTACTCAGTGGATTATCACTAACTTGTAATGCATGGGAACACACTTTAGACTGGTTAGCAAACAAAAATAAGATAGACATTTGGAAGTTATATACTAGAGTTTGTTCACTGTATTGATTTGATTTCCTAGCTAAATGACCAAAGTCAAGTTGTTGGGTTGCAGTGCAAACATGAATCAAGAGAAGCTGGTCTTGGCAACAAGTATGGCTTCTTAGAGAAGGAAATCCAAGTGACAAACATGGTTATGAAGGCAGCAACTATATCACCTAATAATTTCTGGTAAAAGTCATATAAAAAAAGAGTAAATAGTATTTAAAACTCTCAATATATTAAGAGCAGGATTCCTGTCTTGAAGTAGATGTCCTCAACACAAGGGACAGAATCACTATCTTAAGACCTCCTACAAGATGCCTGAATGCAACGTGCAAGACAAAGAAAACCAGGAGACAAGTAGGATGGTCAGAAGTAAAACACATCAGTCGTACTTTGAATTAAGGATTTAGGAAGCTCAAGATCTGGATATTAAAGAAGAAATAGCAGAGAGGAGAGATGAACAACAAAGAACATTACAGCACATATAGAAGGGGAAAAGTACTTAGAAAAGTTAGGACAAATTCAAAATAATTTGGATGCATAAAATAAACTTAATGGAAGAAGAAATCGGAAATGCTCTCAAAGGAGAGCTGGCTTAGGAAAAGAGACTAGTAAAGGCATTACAGAACACAAAAGTATTAGAAATTCTCGACCTTTGTTTTGTGTGTAGAAAAAAGGACAGGTTCTGTAGTAAATTTTATAATTTATTTACACTGTACACTACACTACAAAAGTTTTCATGTTGAAAAGTAGTCTTTGTAAATGTCAATATTTTACACAGTAATTCCTGGAGTGTACAAATTCCTGCTCTTTTAACTTCAACTTGGCACTAACAAAACACTGTCCCACTAATGTCCTACCTGCAGAGATGTTTAAGATGAGGTTAGACCTAAAATTGAGGTTGGAATTCCAAAAGACACTTATTCACACCGCTGTCCTTGAAAACTTCCACAGAGCAGCACAAAGATCAGAAGCGTGAATATGGTCCTTTAATTATTTAAACTCCAAGTAGAGAGTTGCAGGCCTGCTACATCCATGCTACAGTAGAAACGGGCCAAGATGAAGAAACTAACACCTATACCAGAGTCAATACTGAGGTATTATCTGAAAGGTATCAAGAAACTCAGAACAGGGAATATGTCTCTCTCTTGACTCCCCACAGGCTTCTAACAGGGCAGAGATAGAACTATACCTAGGGTGGTGTGCTCAAAGAATGTGACTAATTTCACTACAGCTAAATGCTATTTGCAGCTTCCCAACTCAGAACTGGAAGAACTGCTGAAAATTTTGTATTTATTTTTAATTTTTAATTTTTATTTTATATTACATTATTTCTAGCAGGTAAATTCAAAAAGGAAGACCAGCAGCAAAGCAGCTTCTCTAATTCTAAAGCTGTTTAGGTTTGTAGATTTAATAGACTTGCCTTCATATTTCAGTTGTAGTCAAGAAGCAAGCACCATTTTATGCAAGCACAAATAAAGTCAAATGGGCCAGCCATAAATTAGTCACGGAGAACAATATAAAGCCTTAAACCCAATGTCACTGCTACGCTTGTGTGCACAGCAAGTAGCAAGGAAGAAACAGAAAGTCCTGTGCTCAACCAAGCTTTGAAAACTTACTGTCAAGTGCTGCCTGTGTCCTAACACCACTGTGCCCGTTCTGTAAACAAAGAAGAAACGAATTAATAGATCATCTTAGAGATATATTAAACGTTCAGACTGAATCACACATTGAACATGCTTCATGCAAAATTCTATATTCATACTAAATTGAACAACAAGGCAGAAAATTAAATTTTTACTGCCTTTAAAAGAACTACATCATAAAGTTGTCTCAAGTGCAAGGTGTCCTGAACACAGAGAAACCCATACACTGCCCATAATACACCCATCAGCAGCAGACCTTCCCATGTACTGTATATAACAAACTTCAGGTTCACACCAATATGAAAGAAGGAATTGCATTAACATATAGGAAATGGTTGTGCTTTTGATCTAATGTAACTCACAATTTTAACTATCCAAGTTACACAGACGCCAATTTTTTTCCATTGAAAGATAAGACTTGAGAAGCACCAGTTGTTTTTTGGATAACGCTGGAGTACAGAAGTGGATAGTCTATGCTTGATCCTCACCAGTACATACGAGCTAGTGCAGAAGACAAGTGTGACTGAGCCAACACATAACAAAGGCCAGAAGTAAATACACTTACAAACTCTCACAAGTTCCTAACACATTTAATAAACTCAGTTCTTTTAAAACAAACCTACATTGCATATACAAAGACAGCAGGTGTGTCTCAATCTCCCAAGAGATTCTTTGTCCTATATTAGACCTGTCCTTATGTTTATTAAAATAATACATGAAAGTAATTCCCACTAGTTTTTAAATACAACTGAAAAGTATTGCTGGAAGGGCCAAAAAAAAAAAACAAAAGTGGGATTCATCTGCTAGCTGCCATATAAATTTAGTAGATAATATACTCTTGTATAAAAACCGCCAAGTTATGGCAAAACACCATAACTAATATTGACATATAGAGACAGCTCCTTAGCTTCAGGGAAGGAAACTCAAGTAGAATTGTAAGTGCTACTAAAAAAATAGTCAAAAGACAATTTAAGATGTCAAGACCCACAAAATCAGAAGCTCTTATATCCCAAATACAGTATTACCAAAAATGACTATACACCAGGAAAAGCAAAAACAAGTAAGAGGGTGGGCTTAGGAATCAAAAATACCACTTGGCTTGGTTAAAGCATTAATATATCAGGGGAATACAAACCTAACAGGTAAGAATATTCCCCCTTTTCAAGCTCCAGTTTCTGTAATGAACTCACCGTAACTGCAACAGCAGGTGGTTCAGACGGAGCCATGGAGCTTTGGTACGCTATCCTGCTATGCACAGAAGTCTGGTCATAGGAGGAAGTTGTTACTGGGCTAGTGCTCTGGGATGAGCAGGTCAGACTGGAAGAGCTGATGGCAGAGGTTGTGTAGGTGGAGTCCTGTACTGTATTGGATATTGGCAAAGAGGTATTCAAAGGATCACTGGAAAAAGAAGTTATTTATCATCTTGGTAAGCATTTCAAGTATCTCCATGAAAATATCAGCTCCTATATAGCTATCTAGAACTACCTTAAACATGCAGAAAAATCTACACTACTTATATTAGAAAATCTAAGAATATTAAAAAAAATTACAATATTGCTTTGGTCCTCACTAATCACTGCTTCAAAACATCAGCTGCGTTACTTCCGCTTCCTCGTTGCAGCCCAACCATGACAAGAACTTATACACAAGCACTTTTCAGTCATGTTATTTCCACCTTTTCTATGGATAAATTAATGATCATAGTCTTTTTTAAATAAACAAAATTGATAAAGTCTGGTGTATGATGAATAACCACAATAGGATTCTTTTTACAATAGAATTCCAATGTTAAAGAATGAATTATGCAAAGAGCTAAAAAATACTTTAACACATTCAGGAATGTTTTATTTTCCAATTATTTTAAATATAATTTTTAAAACTAAAAGTTGTGTGAAAGTTCATTTTTATTAATATTCCTGAATTAACTTCAAGAAGCTTTTTACTAATGTCGATTTTTCAATGAGTAAGGAATTAAAAATGGTTTACTGGTACACTGGCACTTATCATTGGTTGTTTTAGCATTTCAGTTAGAGCTTCTGCATACAGAAAGCCTAGCTGCTTTTCTAATTTTCTCATTGTATAGGAGCATCATATCTGTAACCTGGTGCCAATCTACTAACATGCATATATGGTACAAAGGTCAACTCTGCTGGATCAGACAGAGAAAAACATGGGTAGTGAGGAACAAACCCCCAAAATACTTGAAAACCAGGGCAATTTAACATGAGAAATTCTATAAAGGATAGCTTATTAAAAGGTTATTTATATTCATATCATCTCCAGTTTCACATCTACCCATCCAGGGATATTTTGATTATCATTACAGATGAAATTTATAACTTAAGATACAGTCCACAGAAAACAAGTCATCATATTTTTTTCCCCTTTCATTATATTGCAACCCTGTCTTGATGTTTTTGGCACAAACTTGACCCCCTTCAAGAACACCTGAGAATGCAGGAGGGCAACTCACACATACTTTACAGATTTTGAATATAAACTATTGTTGGTCGCCTGGCTGGTACTCTCACTGCTTGAAGTTGATCCAAACTCTGGGAGTGTAGGCTCTGATCCAAACTCAAGAGCTCCAAACTGAACATTTAACCCTGTCATGTCTGCTGATCCAGGCATCTCCACAGCAGAGGCAGGAATCTTAAAGAAAGAAAAAAAGCTGTAATTCCTTTGCATGCATTTGCAACCTGAAATTAATGCACTGATTTTGCTCTAATCTGGAGCTGAAGGACTAAACCATACTATTCCACAATAACAAAGTATCATCTGTGTACATCCCTACCCCCTCCACCAATATTCATGTTGTGGCTACTAACTCAATCTAAAATTCACTCAGCAACAGCCATTTTCCATACAGAGCAATCAGCTACGTGTTTGCAAAAGATATCACCACAATATTTTGGACCTAGTAACTATCCAGCTTAGTATTTCCTGCTTCATTAATAAGAAATACACACCAAGGTCTTTGCTCTCCCTTCTCCCTAGCAATTTATATAAAACATATACCAAATCAAATCACAGAATCACTTCACTTGGACAAAAAAATTACAATCAAATCCAACTATTAAAGCCAGCACTATCAAACCATGTCTCTAAGCACCACGTCTTCACATCTTTTAAACAGTTCCAGGGATGGTAACTCCATCACGTAGCTGGGCTGACTGCTCCAGTGACTGACAACCCCCTTGGTGATTACATCTTTCCTAATATCCAATCTAAACCTTCCCTAATGCAACCTGAGGCAGTTTCCTATTGTTTTGTCACTCCTGAGAAAAGAGACCCATCTCCACCTGGCTACACCCATATTTCTAGATAGTGACACCCTCATTTCTAGAGAGTGATCAGGTTTCCTTCTGAGCCTCTTTTCTCCAGGTTGAGCCTCCATAGCTCCCTCAGGTGCTCCTGACCTGTGCTCCAGACCTTCCCCAGCTCTGCTCCCTTCTCTGGACATGCTCCAGCCCCTCAACATCTTCCTTGTGTGACGGACCCAGAACTGGATACAGGATTTGAGGTGCAGCCTCACCAGTGACCTGTAGTCACTGCTCTGGTCCTGCAGACCATGCCACCGCTGACACAAGTTTTTGTGGTTTTTACATTTACTAATAACAAACCACCACTCAATTACTCACCTTGGATGCTGGAGTTATCCTCCTTTTTGGTGGTTTGATCTGTTTCTGCTGGGTTTGATGAACAGTCACTGCCTGGTTATCCATAGAGATAGCAGGGAGCTGTAATATTTTGCTAACAGCTGTAGAGGTGTCTACTGGTGATGGCTCTCGGAGCTTTATCTGAGAGGACTCCAGCCCAGGAGGAGGAACAGGAACCACCTGCATTTGTTGCTGCCGCTGGGTCAGCTGGCTCAGAACTGGAGATGGCTCAGGCTGAGATTTAAAGTCTGGTCAGTGTTGGGAAAAAGAAATATCAAAATTAAAGCATTGAACTCTGCTCTTCACAGTTCTACATTTTATGCAAGAATCTGGGTGATACTTAATAGTTATGCTCCTACAGCATTTGCAAGTCCTTTCAGACATCACAGGGGTTTCACATGGATTATTACCACTCTAACACTATAAAGGACAACAGTTGATACATCTTCTACTTGAAATAAACAGCTGTGGCCAAGAATTATTTCAGTTTTTTCCAAAGATATGATAACAAACATATCTACACAGCCACAATATTATCACACACATTAATCCTCAAAAACTGTTATGGATTATTTTAATCAAACACTTCAACTTTCATTGCAATTAACTGTGCTGATAGAACGTGATTACTTCCAAGGGGTTAAGAGTTTTTGCAATTTAGAGGTATTATGATTTAGGATTCCTTTCCCCTGCAAAGGAGGATAAAAAAAAATAGAAAGTCTTCTACCATCTCATAATAGCTGAGAGTCAAAGCAAAGTTGGACATGAACAGATTTTTTCCCCAGTCTTCCCTTTCATAGTTTTTGGATACTGAAAGCCATGAAGTGACCTTAAGCACTGGTCAACCACCATAGAGACCTCCAGCACTTCCAGTGTGAAGGGGTTTTTATTCAGTTGGTGAAGTCCATTATAAAGCATTAAAATGTACTTGTTTTTTTTTTCAATTTCTGCATGTCAAAGATAGTAATTGCTACCAATAGCTGCTTATCTACATAAACATATACACACACATGAGAGACACAAGAGCTATCCTCTTCACAGTGAGCACAATGCTAGGAACAACACTGCAGAAAATAAGGTTCTGTCATTCTCACTGTTGCTACTAATGTTACTCAATTATATGAAAAACTCAGACAATTATAAATACATAAAACAAGTAACTTGAATCATTCACAGCACACTAGGGAAAGAACACTGAGGCGTGATGCGCATTATGAAGAAATTACATAGTACTCATTCAAAATTCATGTAATGATTAGAAGAGAAAATCTGGGGGAAAAAAAGACAAAATACAAGTACACAACTTTGCACTCAGCTAAAAGCAGCATAGCTACAATGAAAATAAGTATTTTCCAGCCTTTGTCAAAAAACAGTCACCAATGAAGTTCCATGTATATATTCAAGCACACTAAATCAAAGATGTCATTACCCGGAAGGCTCAATAACTTTAAAGATGTAATGACATATATGGATAGGCTTAAGCTTAACAAAACTTTATGATACACTTGTGATGTGTATTACCAGAAAATAAACATAATGCTTAAAATGTTCTAAGTAATTGTATTAGTAGGATTCAATTTTTTAGTACAAGTCTTTCATTAAAGTAATGTTAAACTATTATTGGCATTAAGAAATCTTACTGGCTAACGTAGAGAGAAAGAGAGAAGAAGCTGTGTCAAAGCACTTACCAAATTGACTGAGGACTGAGGATTGAGTACTAGGTGGTTTTAGATCCCAGGATGATGCAGCAACTGTGCTAGTGGTTGCAGAACTGCTATTGGTTTGTTGAGAGGTAAACTGACCCAATCCTGGTGATTTCAATTGGTCTAAGATTTGGGACCCAGTAGAGTTTGCCAGTTTAGAGGATCTGAGCTCTCCAAAGCCAGAACAAAGAACTGCCGACTACCAAAAGACAGAAGAAGAGGGGAAGGAGTAGAGTTAATATTCTAACTAATAGAACATAATCATAGGGTCAATGTGTACAGCTGCTATCCAGCAGCAAACAAAATCTTTTCAGACCTAGATTAACAAATTACCAGTAAAAATTTTCACTACTGTAATCACAATAATACTAACTCACTTAAACCCATGCATCTTAAAATACCATAGATTTACTAATAGTTGGACCAATTATTAGAGAATAAACACCTCATCTCACATCCTCAAAACTAACTCAGAAATAGGCATGCTTCCACAAGAAGAACTTGAATATGTGCTTGGAAATAATACATCACTTTTCTGGCCTTCAACTTTTAACTATAAACAAATTACTACCTACATCAGCAAGCAATGTGCACATCTGCTCTCTAATAAAAAATTGATATAACTACATCATGTAAACACAGAAATAACTAACCAGCAAAATGAAAACAAGTAATTTTTTTTTTGAGGGGGGGAAAAAGGGTGAAAGGAACAAATGATATCCTTAATTTTCAGCTTTTTCAACAAACACCAAATACCATTAAATGACTGGCACTGGAAAAGTTATTTAACCTGAAATATTTACTCACGAACAACGTTTAGAAAACATAATATTTAGAAAGTATAAGATAGTTTTACCAGACTTTGAGGAGAATAAGAGTTTACAGCACTGGAGCTGCCTGTTCCTGATGCCATCTGGGTGCTGTGCTGTGAATTTGTGAATACTAAGGCTTGGCCAAAGGTCTGCTGCTGGGGAGACTCAAATGAGTTGCTTTCTGTCTCTTGGGTAGATGTCACCGGCTTTTGAAGCAGTGTCACCAAATCAATGCTGTAAGACAAAGTGAAATTCGGCTGGAATGAACACAGCAAACTCACAGGAACAATAATTTGCAAGCAAGGCTTTTTCAATTTTGAGATGAGTTTGGCCAATCTCTGGCAGAGTTTTTACTCAGTATTTTATCTGTGCAAGCTAACATTGCTTAATCAAGGAGAAGGCTCTTAAAGTATAGGGAAAACATGGAAGAAGAGCTTACCTTTGCCCAGGAGTCACATGATTTTCAGCTGGAACAGAAGACGCAGTGAAGACTTTTGTTTCAGAAAGCTGAAAAAGAGATGAGGGAAGAGTTTTATATGGTCACATTTCCCTGCTGCAACATCTGCAGAAATTCAATTTTGGTCATGCACTTTCAAGATAAAAGTAAAGTCAAACTACCATTACAAACAGCTACTGTGAGGCTCTGCTTAAAAAGACAAAAACATGTAGCCAAACTTCAGTAAAATCTTCTCCACAGACTCAAGTACCTATTTAAATTAGAGGGCTGGGTTAGGAAATTTGACCTACTGAAAACACTCACCAACACAAGACCGTATACCAATGTAACTACATCAGTTTGGGAAACCGTTTAACTGAAATACACCAGTAGAAAGTAATTAATGTGACAATCATTCTTCCATCAATGTGCAGACAATTTATGACACTAGAGCAACTCTGATAAATCTTGTTGCACATTACACTGCTCCCACTCATTCCATGTATCCTTGCATCTGACATGTCAGCTGCCACGACCAGCAGAGGCAGATAAGTACAGGTAAGTACAGTTAACCAGCATTCATGGTTCCTTCTTGGCAGCTCTGTTAGAAGCGGCAATAAGATCTTTAACTGAGTGCTCTGACAGCAGGAGCTCAGAAACAGTAATAAAATGAGGCCCATGCTGACACTCAAGTAACAAGTCAGATCACCCACAGAGGAAAGCCGCACTGTTTTCACCATGCTGTTACATTACAGAGAGATACTTGCACAGGCATCTGGGGAAATTGAGCTGCTCGGAATTTGGGGGAACAGAGGGGGTTGGTTTTTTTGCCCTATGGTTGGATTTTTTAATATTTTTTCTTTTTTAAAAAGTAGTAGTTGAACAGCTACAACTTCCTAGGGCTAATCTATTTCTATCGACAGGAGTACTTGCAAACCAGAATAGGTCTTAAGCCAGTACGGGTTAGTTTTAGGAAGGCAGAGATACGCATGTACAATGCTTGTGTTTTAAATTAAATTTTCACAAAATCACCTTTAATTCCTTTGGTAGCCTTGTCTTCGACTGAAGAATAACTAACCTATTCAAAGAACACTTTCAGAATGTGCCATTTGATACAGCTCTTCTAGGAAATTATGCATTTTTAATTGCATACATTTCTAGCAGCCCAGTTTAAAGGATATCATGGACACGAGCTGATTTCATTGGCCAACCCACAGGCACCGCTACTGAGAGCATGTGTATCCCTGAACATGGACATATGACAGAGATCCCCTATGAAACACTCTTGACTTAAGAAGAACACAGGAGGGCTGACTGGGAGCAAATTATCACTCATAGGCAGATTTCACGTACTCTCCCAGCACCCTCTTGCAAGGAGTACATGAGGCCATGAAGAAATCAGTACTACCACAGTTGCTCCCTCCATTTCTTGCCCTTCCCTTGCTGCCAGCACAATGCACTCGAATCCCTTATTTCTGGATCACTTGTCCTGAGATTAATGCTGACAGCCCAGAACTCTGTACTGACCGAAACAAAGAAAGAACATTCCACTTAAGTACATTTCAGTTAAAAAGGCTGTTCATCTATTGTTCAGCACTTCCCCCATCACGTGTTTTATTTTAGAGCAATGTGTACTGTACTTTCTGGGGTATTATGATATACCTGCATTACATGGCACAAGGAAGTCAGCTAATGGCACAAGCAGAACTCTATGGTCTGCAATCCCTCGGTTAATATTAAATTCTTGGTAATGTCAACAGTTTCTTACACTCACATAACCCAGGAAAAGACTAACCATGGACAAACACTGATGAATCCCCCCCAAAATTCAGCAAATTAAGGAGACTGAGGATGTTTGTGACAATGCAAACGCATGCCTTATGTGTGAGAGAGTAAATGCTCTCTAAAGATGAACCAGCATGCAAACAAATGTCTCTGGCTACCAGCTCAGTTATCCTGAAATTTACACTACATCCTGGGGCAAACCCACTGCCACAAGGTCCAATCAAGCACTTAATTCAGGACTCTGAAAGGATTACGGCATTTGTCAAAACATGTATGTCGTGCTGTGGCAGCTGAAAAGTTTAATTACATGGACGTATTTAGTATTTCTCACAAGTAGTATTTTCAGCTCTCAATCAAGCCATTATGCTCGCTGCACACTACACTCACAAATCTTTCATTGAGGCTCTGGCATTTCCCCAGAACTGAACGAATGGTTGTGAGCCATTTGTCGGTGTTGGCCTCACAGGGGTATGTCCTCCATCTGCAGTGAAATGTTCGTGCTTTCCAGCTCCTGTTCCTATGATAAAATCATTCTCCAATCACCAAACATACAACACACCTGACAACCAGGTATCAGCTCCCAAAGGAGTACAGGAATGGTGAGGAGAAGAGGAAAACATACTCCAGCATCCTCACGGAAACTCACCATCAACAAATCAGAAAATAAAAAGCTTATTACTGTTTTGGTATGACGTAGTGAAGGTAAAGAAATTAAAACAACTTCTCATTCTGCTTCCTGGTAAAGAAACCACTTCTATCAAAATACACCGTTTTTCCCCTTTCCTGTTTCCAAAAAAGTGTTTCTGTGGTTTCAAATAAAAACTAGTGCCACCAACACTGTACAGAAAATATTTGGCATCACCCCCTTCCCGGAAATTTGTATTTATTCTATTTCTCTCTTTAAATAGTTTGTCTCCAGAAAATAATTTCTGTAGTTAAACTTTACTTTCTTTAGCCAGGAGAGCATGATCACAATTTTAAGAGCAAAACCCAGAGCCACCTAAAGAACCTCAATATTTGTCTAGTCGTTCATTGTTCATGCCCTGAATATCCCTTTAACAAAATACAACCTCCTATTTTCACTGCAAGCAGTTTCCATTCTATTTAATAGCACCTTGACAACCTATTATACTTGCTCAATACTCACTACAAAAGATAAGGACCAGACAGAACTATTAGGTCACAAAGACCTAATTCTTCTTGGGTGAAACAATGCTAGATTTCACTCACTTGCTCATAATTGTATCTGACTAGAGAACACGACATTTAAACAGAAATATTCTTTAGAAAAACACCCTGTCTTTCCCTCCAGACAGCAAATATATCACCTTCCTTGGTTCATTTAATCAATAGTCATGCCACTAGAACTGCTTACTACACACTTAAACACAGATTCATACTGCACCTTTGCTAGACTAAAACCAGAGTCCATCATAAGCTCCTAAAATAACCCTTTCAGATTCTCTAAGCTAAAATCTTCTCTCTCAAGGATCTTTGATCAGACATTTTGAGCTATTATATACAATTTTTCATCTGTAAAACCAATGAGAAATTTCATTTGATACTTAAGAATCAAGTTCAGAGGCATCCACATACAAAAACATAGCTCAAGAATGAATAACAGATGGAGAAGATTGCCAACAGGCAAAAAGACTACAAATAGGAGCTTTTCTGATACTGCATCAGTTCATGCTTAGCTTTTCTTTTTTCATCATCCACTATAATCCTGAAAACTTTTGAGTTGCTGTTTTCCAGACACCAGACCCTTATTCTGAAGCTGTGTCAAATTGATACTTGGCTATATTAAAGCATTTTTCATTGGAATAGGTCAAATCTTGCAGAGGTCCAAATCTCACCGCATGACTGGTTTATTTTCAAATGCAATTCCAATACCTTTGGTAGTCCACAAACATTTTATTAAGCAATTATTTTAGTTTTACTTCCCAATCATTGATCGAGGCACGAGATGGCATCTGGCCCTGGAGGAGGGACTAACAGCCCTCCTACAAAAGCCCACATTCAATAAGGGTCCTTCAAATTTGCAAGGCAGATTCCAGTACACTAATATGTTTTGTAATAGAATGCAATTATTTTTAGAACAAAAGAAATTTTTTTTTTTTTTTTTTTTGTGCATGTTTTGGGCTAATGTATCTGCATCTGACATTTTGTTCACTCTTTGCGAATATTAGCAGACAAAAAACTTTCTCCTAGGTTATAGGGATTTTTCCAGGATGCAAAATTAATAAAAATGAACAATGGGCTAGAGATTTCAAAAAAGAGTTGCAAATTATTCAGCTCTAGTAACTAATTAAAACAAATTCTATCCCTAGTCAGCACTGCTCAACACCCCTCCCATACGACAGATGCTACACCAGCATCAAACAGGGGTGAGAATAGCCCATAAATTTCCACCATTCTTAGCCCTTTGTCCACCTCTAGCACAAACTGAAGAAACCAAGGACGGGTTTAAAATATGTCAGCTTTCTATGACATCAACTGATACAGAAAACCTAGGAATTTTAGAGTTTATTTCAATTCTCTCAAAAGATAGATCCCTGTCATTAGGTGAGGATGGAGATTCCAAATCAGTTACATGAAACATTCACACATTTCCAGGACTAAGACTGACATTTCACCTTACAGGAGGAGGCAAAAGGGATGACTTATTTTCACTCTTCTGGAAATAAACTTGAAATAATGGATTATTTCAAATATTTAGTTTTTGAAAACAAACTCCGAAGAGAATAAATAATCAATTGGTATACCCAACCAGTTGCACTTACATCTTCATTCCAATCTTCTGCTGTCCATTCTTCTATTGAGTTTTTCCATGCTCCTATTATAATTGGGGAAAGAAAGAAAACAAGTACAAGTTAAACAACATTGTGTTTCAATCCTTCCGCTTTACAAGCAATCCTGTTTTATTATCAGTGGAACACAAAGTAAGGAGATGGAGGCTGGAAACATATTTGGAAACACGGTTGGAAGCTCTAGGAAACTGGCCTGCAGAATTAAAATTTTGGGAGGGAAACACCACCACTCCCCCATCTCCTCTGCCCTTAATTTCTGGAATTTCTTAGCCACTAGGGTACTGGAATTAACTTGCATGAATGCACATCTGCACTCGGTGATTAATCCCAAACACTGGAAGAAATTTCTCCTGTGAGTCCAACGACAGTGAGAGGTTACTTAACCCTCCCAGAGGATCACCTACTTTCACACAAAAATTCATACAGAACAAAGCACAACCACAACACCTGCTCCAATACCCACAATCCTACTTTGAACATATTAGATTTCAAAACCCAGGCTATGCCTGTGGAGACTACTTTCCAACCTGTTAACTCACTCTTCAGAGTAGAACAATTCCTTCCCCTGAGAAAGCAACTTATTTTAGAACATAAATAATTCTTACTATGGTAGCAGGACAGTCTTTAGATTTCCACTGCAGCTAAAAAACACTTCCTGTAACTTGTGACAGAGTGGATTTGGCAAATACTGGAGCACAGTGCAGCATGCAGAAATAGAAAAACCACATAAAACGATTCTATGGATGCAAAAACCCAGGTACAGCAGGTACAGACATGCAAGAAAAATAAAGGGACTGAAGGCCTTGACCACTGGCAACAGTATGGGGAAGGTTATCCCAACAACAACCAGAGCCTTTGTGTAAACTTTGCAACCACGAGCAATGAAAACACCAACACCAAAGGAAGTGCCACCAACACCTTGGATCAAAAAGCGAAAAGACAGCTGCTTCAATCATCTCCTTTCACTTAACCAGGAACTGTCTGAGATGCATTAATCCAGAAACAAGTCCCCCCCAAAGACAGCATCAAAGCCACCTGGTCCCTAATGCCAGTACTGCACTGGTGCTTCCTCTGGAACCCTGTGACACCGCAGCGGGATTTGACAGAGGAGGGTCGAGCGGCGCCAGTCCTGTCAGGCAAACGGGCTGACCATGAAGGTTACATAGAGTGGGGGGAAAAGAGAGGGCAACTATACCTTGGAATCCAAAATTATTTGGCAGGTCCTGAGCAAGGTAACATCCGCTCTGTGTGGGCTCTGTGGAGCAATATAGAGTTGCCTGAAACACTCATGCTCACATTTTAGCAAATGGCCCCTAACCAGGGCTGATGTTTTTATAAATAACCATACCCTGTAATAAAACTACTACAACGCCTCAAATTTCTAGACTAATCCACACATTTCTACAGAAATTTGGAAAAGGAGGAAAAGCCCACTAAGCAGCAGTTTTCAGAGGAAACTTTCCCTTCCCCCAGTATTTCTTCTTTGAAGAAGAAATCAAAGTATTTGCCCTGCTTGTATTTATCTCCCACAAGCCAGTGCCAAGGCCTGTCTAGAAGACAAGCCCTGCACTGACACCAGAATACTAAAACAGAGCTTGGAGTCTGATAAAATAAATACTAAAAGAGCTCAGATACATCAAGTCAGACTCTTGAGTATTTTCCACCACCTTTGGGAGACCAAACCTATTTGGAATAATACTTGTGATGTTTTCCTGACATTCAATTTAAACAATTATCTGTTGTTCTCTCTTCTAAAACTAGTTCTGAGGGTTTACTCTTTTAAATACTGTGTACAGCCTTTCACCCTTTTATTAGTTCACCCAAGCTGCAAAGTTTACTAGTGTCATTTACTAACACTCTTCCTTCGCAAATCAATCCCTCCACTCTCAGTTATTTCAAGACTCTTCTCTGCACTAAATCCAGTTTTTAAATGTCTTCCTCCTATTAATGGGATTTCTAAGTCAGATTTTGGGACAGACACATCAATTTCTTTTTAGTCCAAAATCCACCTTGGCATTACTGCAGCTCATGCATCCTCTTCCCAATCTTTCCCCCAAGCTTTGCAGAGCATCACGATTCAAGTGTTTCCTGTTTTCCGTCAAAATTATGCTTTGTGTTTTCAAGGATCTTTATCATACAAGCTTCAACCTAGATAGTTATTTGTTTCTTTTTCCTCTTTGTAATAAGCTCAGTTTTAGGAAGTTATAAGTCAAGAAAAATAGAATACATCTTCTGATGAGTCTTCCGGTATGTTCCTCCAATTCTCCTCTCTTCCTGTCACACCATTTGATTTTTTACCCTTTCTTTGAATAACCATTGATATTAGCCCTAAAATAAATTTGACTTGGTCTTTGTCAAACTTATGTACTAGTTCTTTCCGCCTGGATTTGCATTCTAGAAAGACTTGAAGGGCTCCTTAAAATGTTCCTTCTGACTTTTATAGCAGATATTGAAAAAAAACCCCAAACACATAACTGCCAAAAAACAAAAAGCCAAACACCAACTTCCTTGTACCTTTCAAGGAACACAAATGTCCCTCTTGAAAGTTACTCTATAATTTATTTTATTTCTTGTCATTCTTTAGTTTCTGAATAATTAAAGGCTGTTCACAACTAAGATAACAAAAGTTTTTCCGTGAAACTTACGAAACTCTATCAAAGTAGAGATGTGAGTAAATTACCAGAACAGGAGGCTATTTTTACAACCAACTTCAAGAAGTGAGCACCTCCAATATAATTTGTATTTTGTATTGTATTTGTATATTGTATTATTTGTATAAGAACTGCTGTGATTTGCGTTCATTTTCTCCCACTGCCCTGTACATTACAAAAAAGCCAAGAGAGGAATCATGCTGCTCAAGTTTATTCCCTTTTGGAGGAGGATTGGTAATTTTGTTTCTCTTCATCTGTCCCTTCTCTTTGCCTTTCATCTGTACATTATTTCTATATAAATCAGGATGCAGGAAAACTAATGTTGCTTTATTTGGAATACAATTAGACTTAAACGTTATGAACTATTAAAGACTCGCCCTTCAGTCTATATTTCAGCCAACACTAGACTGTACCTTCACAGAACCAGCTAGCTTTTCTACTGGATTATACAATGGTGCACCTAGAAACACTGTTCAAGTTACCATGAGGTCTCTGGCATCTGCAACAATTCAGGGCATGAGGTTCTAGAGCAGTTTCAGAGTACACATGACAGAAACTACATTTTGGAAACAAATACTGAATTTATTTTTAATGAAAATATTCATTTCCCCAGTGCTGGTTAAAGGAAGAAATACTTAGTAAACAACTCAGAATGTCACAAAGAGTTTATATTTGTATTATGTCTTCAGAAAACATTTTGATAAGCAAAGATCTCTTATTTCTCTAGGCAGTTACCTCCTCTTTAATGTAACTGCAGATGAAAAGACACTAGTTTTCCAAGTAGATAGCATGAGCTAATATTGTTTACCTTCTTTTTAGATGAAATAAGAAATGGGACTGGGTAATGAGGAATAAAAAGAGGGCTTTCCTTCCTGCCCTTACTGTATAAACTCTTACCTGACATCTACAAAACCCACTGCAGGCTTTATAGTTTTCCACAGACATATAGTTCCCACACTCAAAACTTTAGTTAACTCCCCATTGGGAACTTAACTTGGTCATTGATTTGTAATTAACAAGACAGCACTGTAAATTTACGGGGGAAACATGAAAATTAATATTTGGGATTAACAAGTCAAATCATGCTCAACTTTATGCTCTACTTCCAGCCCCATACGTTGTCCGCCACTGTCCCTGCCTAGCACTGCTTCCATGCTCCTTCCCAGCAGCCTCTTCTGCTCTAAAATTACCACCTCAACTGCAGTTTCTTCTAAAAACCCTCAAGATGCTTTCCATCACAAGGCTGAAAGTGCTACCCACTTGGATAAAACTGATGATTCGATTGTAAAGCCTGTTCTTTCTGAAGTGATTCCTTTCGGCCCAGGGACTTCTTTCAGACATTCCTAGAGTTTGTCTAAATAAGCAACACAATAAAAGAAAGCACGCTTTACAGAGACATTTTTGTTTTGTCACTTATAGTGTCTTTTTCATTTGAAAGTAAATTAAGATTAGCAACGAAAAGGTGCTTAACACCCAAGAAGAACATTCAAATTTAACTAGTTCACTTTAATTTTCCACCAATCAAATAATTTTGCAGGAACTGCCTTACAATGACATCCACTCATTCATACCTCAAAGATTCGTTCATCTGATAAGGCCAGGGAAAATTCCCAAATGCCTTCTCACACCTTCTTCCTACAATGCTTCCCAAATTTCTACGCATGCCTTAAGCTGTGTTAGTGAAGTCCAGTGTAGTTTGTTGGTGACATGTGCATAGCAAAAATGTGCTTGGCATCCAAACAGAAATTCCACACATAAAACTGAATTTCCACCACTCTGTCTGCAGCACACCTCTCACAGAGACACATTCGTACTGTTACAGGGATCTGTTTACCCATACCAAGCTACTCTTATTCCTAGGCAGATTTCTTCCATTACTGAACACAAAGGAGATGTCTACCAGGACAGAGGCCGCTGTAACAGAGGCACATGGAAGCTACTCTGAGTTAGCAGGGAAAGTTCATTTCCAGAGTAGAGCACAAGCCATATACAGCTACACCCTTACAGCTGCAATCAGTAGTAACAAACCAGTGATCCTCTACCTCTGGTCCAGTCTCCTAGTACCTTTCTTGCAGATCTTTATTTAGTTAATCTTATAGCTTCTGCAACATTTGTGATAACATACCCTATCCCTTGCTAACAGGTAGAAAACCACAACATAAGAATCCCCAAAGGAATTTTTAAGACATTAGGTATCTTCCTTATTTGAAAAACTAATGTAAATTGGAAATAAAAGGTGTATTTCTCTTTGTGCTACAACACCAAGTAATTTAAAAAGAAATTCCTTACAGAGACAGTGTATTTGGCAAGAATGCTCCCATTAACAACCACTAATACACTCAAAGCCAATCTTCCAGACTGCTTTAGAAGGCAATAAGTGACAAGACAGCTGCCTAACAAGCCTTCCTATACTTTGAGCCTGTTGTTGTCTTCTCTGGAAAGTGGGAAGTGGCTTGTAAGACATTCAAAAAGCTGCATCTCAAGTGGTTCACAGCAGAGCTCAACAGAGCACACTGTGCCCTTCAGGATCAGTTTCCAAACTTGACACAGGAGTTGATGAAAAATCACCTGAGTGGTCTTCACCAATGAAGAGATCAGAAGAGCTACCCATCTCTGCAGTTTAAAAGAAACTCACTCAGTGGCTCCCAAGTGAGGACAAAAACATACAAGACTTTTGCCATTCTAACACAAGGTTTCCTTTGCCTTCATCTCCTCTCACAAAACACAGGAAGCAGCAAGGTATCCTATTTTTCCCATCACACATAAGCAGGCCACCCTCCTCATTTCTGAATCACCATGAGACCACTGCCATACGGTTCCTTTACAAACTATGTCAGTCTCTTGGCTTTTGCTGGAAGTGTGTACTTCTCACTTGAAACTTCACAAGGAAACATACATCTGCCTTGATCTTCCGACAGGTCAATGGCTTTTTGGCTTCAATTCAAGTGCCTACTTGTGCTTTAGTTAATAGTTTTTCTCTTCAAAAGTTGCAGATCTTGGAACTCTCCTTCATGCAGTCTCACATTTCAGCATTGTGCAGCTGGGGCTTCCAAAGTCATCCCAGTGTCACTGAGTGAATTCATACTCGTAAACTTTTTATTTCCTTTTTCTTCTTAGACATTCACACCCTATTTTCTAAAGCCTGTGGACCAATGAATTCTATGAGGACTTATGCTCCTTAACCACATTAGGTGACATCTTAAGCAGTATTAAGATATCTAAACAGTTCTTTACATACAGGTTTCTTCCAGTGACTCTTCAAATTCCTTTGTCTTTCAAGGGTTTGTTAGTACTGTAATAAAAGAATTGCAAAATGCCTCCCTTCATTCTCACCAGAGAGACACTCAGGCTCTGCACATCAGCAGCAGTTAAAAATCACATAATATCTGTGTCACAAGAGACGTATACAAATTTTCCAGAAGTTAATTGAATACTAACAGAACCGTTATATTAGCTGCAATTTGCTACAGGTCTTCATTCCAATCCTTCCACTTCTTGAAGCATCTTACCAGTTCCATCATCTGCATCATTCTGACCAGTCTCCCAGATCTCTGACTTTGTCCCAAAGCCATCAGTGACAGAAGACTCCATATAGTCTGCAGGATTAAATGTCCTAGAGTTTTGAAAGTTAAGAAATGGAAGAGAACACATGGGTCATTCATTGAGCACAAGTGTCATAATTTTTAGCTGAAGTTGTATCAGATTTAACATCTTGATTTCCACATAAGTTATCTTGACAGATTTTAGTTTCAAAAAAAAAAAATTCTTCTACGAGCAGACAGAGATAAAAGGGGAGAAAAGAGAAGAGAAAAAAGTGAAGAGACTGGCAGAGAAACTTCCTGTAGAGAAACTGAACAAAATAAATTCCTGAAGAAACAGTTAACAGCATCCCTATTCCTCCCAGTGTTATAAAGTATTCGTTTATACATATAATGGTAAGACTCTCTCAACTGGTAAGTTTTCAGCAGTGGCTGACTGATAAGTGACCAGTATCATGTGCTTTCAGAGCACCACTAAGATTATTTCAAAGTGCTCTGCTGACACCAATGCCGAAATACACAGATGCAGCTAAAAAGGTGAAGAAGCATTATTGAAGAAAAAATCTCTTTTCAGTTCATCATCTGCAAGTATGAACGAGAAGAATTATTACAGAAGCAGAACAAGATTCCAGTTCATCATGACATCACTGATGTTGCATGAAGTGTCATTAAAGGCAAACTCTGAGTGAGAGTAGTGGAGGCTACATTTCTATAAACCAAGGTATTCCAACAAAATTGAGAGCAAACTTTTAGGCCGCTGAGTAACTTCTGAATCTGTTTTAAGGTCCATATGAGTCCAAACAGCTAAAGCATGAAACCTCAAAAACAGAAGAAAGTTTAGAATTGCCACTTTCAGGTTTTATATATGTTCATTGCACATTCTACATTACACTGAAATAAAGCTGGTTTAAAATTTACCTAAGACTATATGTAGCACACAACTTTCAGATGCCAAGGCACTATGCGGCTGCTACTGATAGCAGGTATGGTTCTCCAAGTTTGAGATATTAACACTGAGTAGACATACATTAGGATTCTACAGGTGTGCTTAGTTAGAAACACTAATTTAAGACAAAATTATTCCATTCATCATCTAAGATTTTTCAATTTTTGCTTCCATATTGGTTTATCAAACATACAGCAATATCCATACATACAGTGGCAACACTGTCAATTAATACTGCCACTGAGTTTGATCCTTGCCAAAATCTGTGCTGTGCATGTTTCTTACCCCATGCCTTGGGCTGAAAACCTCCCCGCTCCTCTCCCTCTGCCACGTCCAAACCCTAGGAGAGAAAATACCATTTAACAGCAACAGCAGAGGAGCCACCAGTCACTAGTCTGTCACGTTAAAGACTGCCGCAGTTGAACAAAACTACCATAGTTGAAGTTAAATATCATTTGCTTCCCAAATTCCCACACAAAATTTTGCTTCCCTAAGACTCTCAAACAAGCCTTGATTCATCTAAAGCCACGCATTTCAGCAGGATCTGCAATTATGTGCCATCTTCTCCGTGTCTCATGAAGTAGCTCCAAATGCCATTAAAAGAAATTACCTAAAGACTCATCAACACTGCTATTGCCAACTTATTAGACATTGTTCAGAATTTTGTCTCTACTGTCTCATTCTTGACTAAGATGATCTAGAATCCCAGCCTCCCTGAGTATCCTGGTCTGTCAAGCAATTCTCTGCTACTCCTTAGCTGTGAGGAAAAACTTGAAATACTCCATTTGTTTCCTTCTCTGACTCAGACCACCTGTCCACCCTTTAGTGCTTTTGCCAATCTCTGATCACACATTCCTTCTGCCTCACCCTTCATCACAGTTGCTGACAGGAAAATACCCAAATCAAATAACTCAACTTCCTTGTTATCATCCACTAAAACATTCATTTGCTTTAACAGAAACAAGTATTTATTATTAAGTATTTATTAAACAAATTTTGATTACCAGCCTCAGTTTATGAGCTTCTTGATACAGTGAATAGCTTAATTTTTGCACAGTGTATATCATCAACAAAGCAAGAAAATTTTTGTGTTATTCAAGAATACACAAAGCAAATGTCCACAAAAAGTATTACCAACTATTTCTTATATGTAATATATTTCTGCATGAGTTCCTTCCCCATCTTTTTAGCGGTTTTATGTAAGGCTTACCCAGTTTGTTCAAGTTTTTTTGAGGAAGGGTAAAAATATTATTTTGGACTACAAGAACAGAAGGAGGTCAAGAGCTGCACTCAGAGAACAAAACTATGTTTACTTTAGTGACAAAATTATGTGGTAATTATAAGTCACCAAGCAACTGCAAGTTCACCAGAGCACACAAATTATAACCTTAAATCACCAAAACACTGATGTCCATAGATCAGAATTACCTATGACAGGCTTTTCAAAGTTTGATCAGAATTACTCCTTACTTTCAGGAGACCATCCAAACTGAGCAAGAGCAGTACCTCCAGGACAAGGTAACACCAGTTTAACACTACTTTAGTGACATTCTGTTGCCTGCTCTCACCACTAATTCTTCCTCTTGCCCCAGTTCACTGTTGAAGTGTTAAAAGACATTTCTGGACCTACTTTTTCAAGACTTCTTAGAAGCATCAAAGTAGAGGAAAGATTCCCATCCAGCAACACACAGTATTTTGTTGGGACAAGAACACAGAATAACTGAAGTCTGGAACTGACCAGCTCTGTTATCTCTGCATTATTTTCCTCTATTTGCTTTCTTTTCACAACTGGTTGGAGAGAAGGCAGACAGAGTTAGGAAAAAAGCAACACTGCTGTAACCTGGCATTTGCCACACTTGTTCACCCAGCCCATGTGCTCTTTGCCATAAACAACAGTGCCCCAAACCCCACCGTACCCAACTGCCTCCCACTTGCCACTGAACCTTGTTGCTCAGCCTACCTAATCTACTGCTGTCCTCTGCCAAAAACAGAGCACTCTGGATTACCTTTCTGTCCAGTAAGTTTTTTTAAGAGAAGAACCAGCTACACAAGTTGACCTGGGGACAGGGTAGGGGCCATAAATGTAATAAATAAACGTAATGTAATAAAATTACTTTCAATTGCTATCAATAGACCATTAAATACCATTTAAGGAAATAGTGCAGAAGCAAAATCATCAGTTGTCTGACAGCCTGAGGTACAAGTCCAAGTGGGAGCTGTGAAACACAAAAACAGTCAACCAGAAAGAGTTTTAAGTGAGACAGACATCAGGTACAGAGAGATAACTGAAATAACTGTCATGAAAGAAGAAATAGATTTTAGAAGTGGAGGTAAGTCACCCCAGTATCCCAAGTGCAAAAGCCTGAAGGAACTACCTTAGCACACTAAAGAGAATGTGATGTTTTAGCAAGCCAGGCACACATAAGATACATTCTCATAATGGGCACAATAAACTACTGACCAAAACCATCAATAAGCAGTTTCAGAAATTCCAAAAAACAAAAAATGCTGTTACTGAAGTTTTATGCACAGTTTTAAGACTACTAGCCAGCAAGGCACTTTTTATACCTGATCACTTTGAAAGATAATCCTGAACTTGAATTTCAAGTGGATTACTTTAACTTCTTAATGCTGTGTCTATGCTTTCTGTAAAATTGGAATTAAGTTTTATCAACAAATGCAAAAAAACCCAAAAAAGTTTCTAATGGAGGCAAAAGAAAGTACCAAGCAAAATACTAAATTCAAAGTTAGAAAACACACAAAATGTTATGGGACAGTGAATGCTCACCACTGCAATATCACCTAACTCAAGACACAGGATCTCATACATCATGGTCACTAGTGCAATATGCCAGCGGAAAGGGCTAATATTCTCTTTGACACAACCAGACCACTAGTATATCCTTAAACTCTCATGCAAAGAAAGCTACTTCTCTCAGCTGTCAAAACTTCAAAGTGGCCTTAAAACAGAAGGTACAGTCTTTTAACGCAGTTAGTCACAAAACAACTACAAATGCCCAGAGGGTATCTACAAACTATGCTTTTTAGCAGTGACTAACAAGTCAGTGAGCAAATGAAGCTTTCAGAATTCACAGCAGGAACTCAAATACTGAGCATGCAATCCCATAGTAATTTAAATGCATTTAATTTAGAACTACTACAATTGTGGTCTTATTTTTTCAGCAATCACAAGCTCTGCTCTTTTGTGCACTGACAGTTTTGAACTTTCCAGTGAGTGAACACCAAATAACCAGGAAATAGGATTTGTTCAGTTCTGGATCAGCTCTCCAAAACAGTTCCCAGTTGATAAATGTCAGAAAACCTTTACACCAAGCCACCAAAAAACCCTGCTGTCTATAGCAACCACGTTGCCTGCCTCTTTTTTTTTTTGTGACAGTTAGTCTGCCTGTCACCTATCACCTCATACTTTCCAAGTTCCTTAACTTAGCTTCCAGGAGGATGTGCTCCAGGATCTTGTCAGGCACAGATGTGAGTTCCAGACCTCTGGTTCCCCAGATCTGCCTTCCTTCCCTTTTTAAAATGAAGGTTATGCTTCTCTTTTTTTCATCAGTGTAAACTCAAAATATGATGGATGGTGGCTAGCCACTTCCTCTTCCAGTTCTCTGGGGATCCGCAGATGTATCTTGTCAGGCCCCACAGACATGTGCACCTGCAGATTTCTCAAGGTGTCTCAAACCTGGTCCTCTCCTACAGTGGATGATTATTCATTCTCCCAGCCTCTGCCTTTACCTTCTGTAATTCATATGGCTGGAAATTGTGTGGGAAAAGACCAAGGCAAAAATGTCATTACATACCTCTGACTTCTCCATGTCCCAGTTAGCCAGGTCTCCTGAATTCTTAGAGAGAGCCCGCATTTTCCCTTATCTTCCTTTTATCATCAACAATATAATTTTAGCATTCCCAACTAGAACTCTGTTTGCTCAGACCATCTCACCTCTCTCTTCCTCCCAAGCTACATTTATTTACTTCCTCCTTCTCTGGGCTTCCTTTTTGTGTTTGAGTTTGTCCAGGAGCTCCTTTTCATCCATGCAGTTGGGGTAATTTTGTCTTTCTTTTGGTTGGGATGCACTGCTCCCAAGCTTGGATGAAGAAATCCTTAAATACTTAACAAGCTTTCCCGGGCCCCTCTTCCCTCTGGGGCTCTATCCCATGGCACTTCACCAAACAGATCCTTGAAGAGGCCAAAGTCTGCTCTTCCGAAGGCCATGACAGTGAGCTTGTTGGGTGTCCCCATCACTGCCCTAAGATCTCAACCTCCACTATTTCACAGCCACTGTAGGCCTGGCTGCACTTGACCTTCACATTCCTCACCAGCCCCACAAGTCAGTTTGCTTCCCAGGCTGCAAGCACACATTCCCAGCTCATGACAGCTTTTCACCTGTAAGAAGTCTCAAGTCCTTTGCAAGGGCTCCTCTCCAGGAGTTCTTCCTCCCAGTCTGTATTTATGCCTGGGATTGCCCTGACCTGAGTCCAACATCTTGAACTTAAAGGCCTGGCTAAACCTCATGAGATTCCCATGGGCTCACTCCTCAAGCTTAGCCAGGCCCCTTCGGATGAGATCTCATCCTTCAGGTTTGTCAACTGCACTTCTCAGCTTAATATCACCCGAAAATTTGCTGAGGGCGTACTCAATTTCACTATGTCAGTGACGAAGATATTAAAGAGCACCAGTTCCAAGACAGATGATGCCAGCCTTTCCTTGTTGGCTTGTGATCACTCCATCACAGAAGGACACCAGACTGGTCATGCACGACTTGCCCGTCATGAAGCCATGATGACCAAAGATGCTCATCCCCTTCCCTGACAGATGGAAGCCATTAGTCCCTAAAGACCAAACCAAAGGTTTCCCAAAGCAAGTCCCCTGGTCTGAGAAGCCAAATCCCCTGCTGTGGCACAAGGCCTATAAACACTCAATGATTCTCCAAATACAATTTGGCTCTTTCAACCCCCTTTGTTTTTGACAGGGAGGATGGATGAAAAAGCTACCTGGAAAAACAACCTGTTCCAGAGTGCCTTACAGCTGTACCCAGGGCTCTGTGATGCCACACAGACTGCTCCTGGCTGTACCACCGGTGCCCACACAAAACAAGAGCAGGAAGTAACAGTAAGTGGACTGCAAGAAGCCTGGTAGCCTCAGTGACATCCCTGATAAGGGCCCCTGGTAAGCAACGCACCTGTCTGGAAAGCACGTGTCACCCAAGGGGTGCCTCTGTGCCTCTCAGAAGAGTCTCCTACTACTGTCACCTGCTGCCTTACTTTATTTTTCTTCTCCTGAATGAATTCTAGAAAGGTCAATATTTATACCTAACCCAGGGAGCTGGCAAGTTTTCTTGTTTTCACTAAAACCCACTAGGAATTCAAAACACTGATCACATAATCAATTCTCCACTCTAGTACCATCCATGCATGGCAAGAATTGCTCTCCACAATCACAACACTTCTTCCCTCAAAGCAAATGCACACTTCATGGCAGCATGAGAACGTTGTGTATAAGCACAACTCAGACTGTACTAGCCCCTTAAATTAATAACCTAATCTGCAGAAAATCAAGTCTGCTGAACTTTTAGAACTAAATATGCACTGCAACACAGGTGCTTTATTACAAAACTCAGATTTTTCACTCAGGGTTAAAACTGGAGGAAGTTACTTCAAGGTTAAGAAATGGCCTGAAGCACAGCTGCAAGAAAAAGGAAATGCAGACTGGAAGGGCAGGCAACACTCTAAATTTGTGCTTATCTCCGACTATACAGTAACTGAATTACCCTGGTCGCTGCTCTGGCAGTGCAGAGCAGTGCATCCTCCCAGTAGAACCAAGCTTATAAGCCTTAAGAGGTAAGGAGGTTTAGTACTTTGCATTCTAGGTACTCCATACTACAATAACAAACACCCAAGTTGGATTTAATAATTCAGATAATTTTTGTCTTTATTAGTCACCATAAAGCTAGAAGCAATTCATCAGTTTTATACACTGCATTTACTCTAGAAAGCGTTTTTACAAGTCATGCTGAAAACTTTCAACTCTAAAATTATACTTAAAAGAAAGCAGGTGACTTGTTACAACTAAACTATGATAATCTCAAAAATTAAAAATGCACAATGACAGTTCCTTAACTAATACAAAATGAGCCACAGCAAAACTAAACAAACCTCAGATTTGGAATTCCAGAAGGTCTGCTCCACATTCATATTTTAGAAAAAAACATCCTCCTTAGTTCTTGCAAACAGAATCCAAGATATACCCTGCCAACTGAGCTAAGCTTTTAAACCAAGGGAATGTTTATACATGCAATTCTGGATACAGAAACTCAATTTGTTTAAGGACAGCATACTTCTTACGTTAAAAACAATGAAAACAGATAAAAAAATACAAACTGGACTATAATAAGGTATCTATGAAAAGGATAAGCCATTTTATTTTCCTAGACAGCCAGCAGACAAAACAAAAGTTGGAATTAAAACATAGCACATTTTCCTTTCATTTTTCTATCTATTTCATAGAAAAAAAAAATCCTGGCAGAACCCACATATATGGCATGCTCATGTTGCTTCAGAATAATGAAGTAAAGAGATAAACAGAAGTGCAAGCAACAAATCTGTCTTGTCTTTGCAAACCAGCAGAATTACTATACATGAGTCCATAACAATTTCTGTGCTGAATCAAATCCAAAAGACCACCTACCTGTTATTCCTTTATAAACTATGGTCAATTAGATATCTAGGGAAGAGCACATGAACTGAAACCACAGTGCAGTTTCTTTAGATGCTTTCCTGGTCTTCAACTATCTGTGGCTTTGACTTAGTTAGTCAAAGGTAATTTACATACAACAAAATCTTTAGTGGTTTTTCTTTTTCTTGCCTGTGGTTCTTGTTAAGGATGAAATTGCCAAGTCTTGTTATGCGTACATTTTCTGCACCACATCATCTTACTGAAAGGAGTTCCTCAGGTTCAGTTCACTACACGTATGAAGAACCAACTCCTTACATTAATCTTGAAGCTGTAAGATGCCCATCTCATTTAATACTCTCTCTTTTGCATACTTGCTTGGCATGATCAATTGATGCCCCCACAGAAGTTTAACAGGTATCTACCACACACCTACTCAGTCCTCTCTCACAAGCAGAAAAATACTACGCTACTTGCTCCTCACACCCCACAGCTACAGACTTCCCAGTACCTTCAAAAGCCTTTTCTAGCTCTATATTGCTTTTTTTCTGCATCCTTTTCAATATGAAGTAGAGGAACTGGGAGAATCAGCCCGGCATTTAGAATTGAAGATGTAAGAACACTAAAAACCAGCAGCATAAAAACAACCCGCGTTTGTAAAGTTTGTCAATTTGTATACATCACTGTAGCTGATTAAAACACAAATGAGAAAATGTTACTATAGCTGACAATCCTAAAGACATACCCATCTGCCTCCATAATTTCTTCAGGAAATTGTATTCTAGACAGTTGCAAGTCCTTGCTATACTGACAAATATAATCACTTTGATGCAACTACTGCTCATCACTATTACAGTATTTCTTACATTTAAATTAAGCTCACACAAGAAATTTGATTCGGAAAAGAAGTACAGATGAGAAGGCATCTTAAAACAAGGTATTTCCTGACTTCAATACAAAGTTTACACCCTTAGTCTAACAAGCAAAGATTTAGCTGAAAGCAATTAGAGCTGAAATGTGTCTGGTTACACATGCTGTGATACATATTTGCATTCTGTTCAGTCAATAATTCATGTACGCTTCAACTCCCTAACACCCTAAATACCAGCACACAGTAGTGATTGCACTCGATTTACTACTACCCTATGGAGTTACAAGGAACGTGACACAGTCATTAATGCAAGACCTACTGCCAGATAAAGCCAGGGCCTTACACACCGAATATCAAATACTCAGTATCAGGGTTTTTCCCCCTCAGTAAACAGCACATTATCAGCTCTGTGTCAATCCCATTTTTGCTATTTTCAGTTGCTTATCATTTCTTAAAATTACATTTTTGTACAGTGAAGCAGTAATACATATGATGGCCCAGCAAACCTCCTAGAAGGCAGCCAGTAATAACTCCTGCCTGAGAAGGTAGCTTAAAATAGAGAGACAGTGTGTTGCTTGGATAATGAGATGACCTCTTATTTCATATCCAGTGCCTAGATTTCTATACACACACACTGTGTGAAATATTTCTAAAACCAGCTTCTGTGGTGATTACCAGCAATATGTTACCTCTCATTTGACTATTCTGTGTAACAGAAAAGGAAGACTACAGAATGACATGGCAGGAAGCTTTTTATTATTTCTACTAATATTCAAAGAAGGAACGTCACTTACCCCTGAAATGATAAGAACTGAATTACACAGATTTCTAAAACGCCCTGCAGACTTCAAGGGTTTGCACTGTAAAATTAATCAGGTATTTCCTGCCATACACACACTTGTAATACAATGATCCTGTAGGTGGCTAACAGGTTTACCACAGACACTTCATTAATATATTTTGCTCACATTACAGTATAAAATATTTGGTAGAAATATATAATAATACTATCTACATGAAACCAATGAACAGAAACTCTTTGAAGTTTCTATTTTTTCAATTGGACAGGTCAGTTTGATCTGATTATGAACTTTGAGATATACAACATTCATCTAGAAAGCCACAGTTTTGACAACAAAAGCAGTGTATGGTTTGTAAGGCTAAAGCAAAAATACATGGCATTTGAAATTAATCTCAAGTTTCACTGAACCATTTTCTAAAAGTCGTACTTTTATACTTTTATTTGAATATAAAGGATTATTTTATAAAATTAATAACTGCAAGACTTACATTCTATCTCCTGAAAGTGTAAACTGGTAACAGACCAATAACTGTAGCTGAGAACTGTACCACACCCTGCCCTGCAAGAGCTACTTCTCTGCACACATCATTACGTGTTTGCTAATTCATAGGCACTCCTGCACGCAAACCTTTGGAAGTTACTTCTTTGCATCTTTGCACATCTTCAAGATGCAGATCTGGAGACAATGAAGTTGGATGCGTCTATCTCTGAATGCCTTGTTACCCGACATTCCCAAGAGAAAGAAGTCCTTTGAAGGCAGAATTTTTCTTGAGTCAGGTATTACCTACTTACTACATTAATTCTGCTAAATATATTGACAATTTGATTTATTTAATACCCTCATCCACCCATAATCTGCACCATAGAGGGGTTACTCATTTTCATTCCTCTGACTTGAAGAAAAAACAAGCTTCTTTCCACTCAACTGGTGAAAATCCAAACTGAATACACATCACTTGATTCCACATCCAGTCCATCATCTCATCTCTTCCATAGAACAGGATTGGAGCTGTACCTAAGACTCTATGGTATTCCTGCTCCACAGTTGGTATCAACTTTCCCATGCCAAATTCCTTTTCACAGCAAAACGTCTCTAAGGTGGCTTGCTCTTCCTCTGATTGGCTACCAAATGCAGAAGGCAAGCCTGACAACCAGAGCCATCCCCAAGAAATGGTACAAGTATACATCAAATCCTTCCCCAAGAGCCATACAGATGGAATCTTTTGCTCTCCTGCTGCCAAAGTACATTCTGAGGAACCCTGCACACTACACTCCCACTCACAGGAGGTTGGCATGAGTCAGTCTGGGAAAACAGCTCTCCAAAGCTAGTGCACAGCAGCCTTCCACACAGGAAATTACCATAGAAATGATCTCTGTCAATTTTTTTTAAGTTGCTCCAAGATGAAGAAATTATAAAGGGTAAGGGAGTGGAATGTACCCCAGTACAAGGTGGCTGAAGTGTGTATGGAATCAAAGGATAAACAAAAAATGCTTAAAGAAGTAGCTTTTAAAGAAACAAATGGGACATGAAAGCAGTGCCAGTCCCACACCAATGCCACCATCTCACCTCTCCCACGGCCACGTTTCCCACGGTCTGAAGGCCTGTCTCCTTGATTGTTGTCCACTCCATTCTCTTCAGCTCTAACTGCAGAGAGAGGACAGCTTAAGAGAAGCTTTAGAGACTCATATATGAGACAATACAGCCATTTGCTTAACCTGAATCCCTCAAAACAAAAGGCAAAATTTTCAAGTGAACTGGTCAACAGATCTCAATCACCTCTCTTCTTTGAGGCCTCACTAGAAGTAAGTTATGTTTCCCTTGTACTGGACAATTAGGAAGCAAAATATAAGAAGGAAAAGTCCCTCAGGAGACAAACCTCTACAAGTACCATGTTTTGCATAGCCTACACTATTTAATGAGATAGGAAATACAGCTGCCTCATTCTGTGTTTCCTAGACAATACACTGGTTGACAACAATGAAAAAATAAAAGATAACCAGTAACACTAACTCTTCTCCTGTCTGCTCACAACTGCATCCCTGTACAAGCATTGAAACAGATTTCTCCTTTGTATTTAAAGCACAGGGATGATGACTGGGTGAAGGTAAGTCACTAGAAAAGCTCTGCAACCTAACTGTTTTGCGGGAAACTCAGATAAGGTGCTTTGAAATGGCTGGCTACTTGAAGGAGGGAAAAAAAGAACAAAACTGATCTCTTAAAACACCCATTGCTGAGACTTTGTACTGCATTTCTCTTAATGGCAACAATAAAATCAACAATACTCGGACATAAAGCTGGAAAGAAAATACCAAGATTTGGTAACCATCTGAAATGTCATTAATTCCAATTTACAAAAAGAGACAAGCAGCATCACTCTCTGGTAAAAAAAAATTGCACTTTGCTTTCATTTTGATGGATCTAACTTATGCTTTTCTAAATCTAGTTCCACATTTTATTAATATTTTTAAATCTTGACTTTGTCCTACAAAAATTCACGTCTATACTGGCAAAATAGTTGAATATCTTCCAATTATGAATAAGATGAGTTGGCTAATATTGAAAATATTTTTCCTGCTTATAAGTGGAAAGCTAAACATATTGTATCTATTCTGATTTATTTTCTCATCTATCAGCATGGCAAACAGCCATTACAGACAATCCGCACATATTTGAGAATGCTGACAAAACATGGCTTAAAAAAGAAACATGTATCCGATCACAATCTATTGTGACTCTAACTTGGAAACATCGGTTTGCCTTCGTACAATGTATTATTGCAACTGTAGCAAAGCTTTAAATGTTTCAACTAACAATGAATTTTCTCTGTTGCAGAAACTCACCTTTGGTTGATTTATGTGAGAAATATATTTAGAGATTAATAATCATCCCAGTGTTTTCATTCCCCTTATGAGAAGATGAGAACATCTTCAGGTTCTCCCACTCATAAAAGGAGATGGAGTCAAAGCTGGATAATTTTTTCATTAAAAGAAACAAAAAAGTGTATCAGCTGTGCAGCGACATACTTGCTCCCAAGCACTCTTACAAAGAGTCAATTCTAAAACTTACATGAAGAACAGCTATTTGTACAAGATCAATTCATCGAACAAGAGCAAAGACTTATTTTAAATTGAGTGTCTCCGAACAAGTACAAACCATCCCAAAACCAAGTCATATAGGCAGATCAAGCATACCTGTGGCATAAACAAGTTACGATCCCTTCAACGCTGAGCTATAGTTGGACGGACTTTGCTCCATTAAGCACTTGCTCTTAGCTCAGTGAGTTCCAGCTGCAAGAAAAGCGTCTCAATCTTTAAAAAATTAATCCCTATACGTACACTCTCGTCCACGGCTGCCTCCTCTTCCCCGTCTGTTGGAACTTCCCCGTCCGCGACTCACTTCTCTGTCCCCTCGTTTCTCTCTGTTCTCTTTGTTTTCTGAACCTTCCTTTCCAAGACTTTTCTTCTTTCCCCCTACAGTCTCCCAAGAAGTCTATTTGGGTAGAATAGAATTAGATACAAAAGTTAAAAAGGACAAGATACCTCTCAATGCACACTTTCCATCCCACACTCCTCCAGCTCATGGAAAAACCCCAGATATTTGCATAATACATATGCAAACTACACTGATATAAATGGAAACACAGGCTGTATTTTTGCAAAGAGATGAGAAAAACATTTTTTAAAATTTGATTGTCTTAGGGAATATGAGAATCCCAAATATTTCTGGCTAAAAAGGACTTCTACTAGTTTAAGAACAACTGGATACTATTGTAACACAGACTATCTGCAAAGCAAGCAACAGTTTTCCTCTCAAATATATCCATAAATCTAGTAAGGGAGCATGAACAAAGCTATCTTTTTCTCCCAGGGGGAAAAAAAAAAAAAAAAGCCCCTTGTAAGTATCATTGAACAAAAGATTGATGAGAATAAATATCCAGCCTAAGGCGGGGGGGGACCAAAAAATGGAAGAAAGGAAGAAACCCAAACAGAAAAGAAAAGCTTTCATCCAGGCATACTAGAATTTAAGCCCCAAAAGACAGAATGGCAAAACAACAGCTTGAAAAAACTGATAAGCCAGACCATCCACTCGTAACAGCTACAGATGATCAAACATAGTAAAACACAGGAAAAGCTATGTCTAAGTAAGACATGGGATCAAGGTCCCATTAGGCTCCTGTTTTAAAATTCAACTCAATCTTTAAAATAAATTCAAAGATGGTATCAGCTCCACAGGAGTATTTGTAGGAGTTGAAAATAAAATTACTAAAACTCTGGCGAAGAATAGCTCAGCAACTCATATTATGCAATTGCATGGTTAGTCTATTGAGCCATAGCTGCAAAGCAAGCAAGAAGAAAAGGTTATTATTTGCAAACCATTAAGATGGCAGAGATGTTTACATGTATGTCCCCATTTCTAGGGGCTTACAGCTCAGGTAAGATACTTAATATCAGAATATTTGCACATACAAATTGTTGGGAAGCACTGAAGTATGACATCTGACAGGCACCTGCATCAAACAAAAAGGGTTGTCTATCAGTAATTTTAAGTGCTGTCTTATTTCTCAATTACACCAACAGCAACTCAGCAGCCCTGAAGAGCCAGGCCATGACCAGCTAGTTCAAGCTGCCTAGGAAGCCAGTGCTATGAAAAAAGCAGGTAACAAAGCAGCTCATAAACTCAGTACTACAGTGTCTTCTTTGAGAGAATAAGAAAAAAGAGTACGGTTACTCTCTCATTTTTTGGCATGGCATGCCAAGAAGGCTGATATCACTTTTCAGTTCCATCTCCAGTACAGAAGACTAAACCAACTTTGGTGAAGCCCAGCCACTGCTGATCAGAGGTACAAAACTAAGGAGATGCACCACCACCACCTCACAGCAGAAAGCTGCTTCCCCCAGTAAATAACATACGGCTTCACCTACCACAGCCAGTGTAACTACATTTAAACACACCAAGAGTTTCACACACCTCACAGGAGGAAAAATACCTGCACTGACAACTGAAAAGCCAAGCTTGTAGAGTTCAGAATGCACTAACGGGCTTGGTGCCAAAACGTCTTTGACCATTTCAGGAAAACCCAAAACTGGGTAAGGCTGTAAAGCTGAAGAGGAAGCAGGCTATCTTGAGTGAGATTTAAAAAAACTTAGGAAGGATCAGTAAAAAGATGACTATGAAAGCATCAGATCCATGCATTCCCAGAATAAAATTTTGAGGAAAGCCTTGAGATATGCCTTGAGTCATGTCCTTTAAGATAGAGGATGGTGCTACCTCTGAGCATGGGGATCCATCACAAACTACTGAAGTTGTCTCTCTTTGTAAGGGAGGTAACTGATTACAATTTCAGCTTACAATGCCTGAGGGAACCCAAATGACAGTAGTGGGCCTGACCTTTGAAAATCTTGTAACAGAGTAATTCTTGTTGGCCTGTTCTTACATGGAAGGAATAAAAATCTGAAAGGTCTCTTTTTTTCTATCTTCAAAGGTTTAGTAAGTAAAAACACAGCTGAGCATAAAATGGTTGTAAGAAGTCCTAGGCAAAAAACCACATCCTTCTCTACTCATTCACAAGTCTCTACTCCAAGCCAGACTGCTAAAACTGCCGCAAAAAAGAGTCTTTACAGAGACTAAGTCACACACAGCTTGTAGATCACAGCTTTAAACCCCAAAAGCAAATGAAAAAAGACTAAGACAAAACTGGCTGAATGCCAAATAAACTATAAATACACATTTTAGCTATTACTCCTTGCTCTTCTAAGTCCTTCAGTTCAATGGACAGATCTTCCAAATGAAGTTTAAAAAAAACTCAAGTGCATCAAAACAATGAGACTAGAAAAAGAGATTCGGAAACCTGCATTCAGAATTTGTAGTACCTCAGGTTACAGCTTCTCATCAAATCTATGGTTAAACTGTTCTCAAGTATAATGGCATTAAAAAAAAATCCTTCCAACTGGAGGAAAAAGAATAAATTTCCTCACACCCATCAATTAATACTCCTTCCTCCTTGACTCCTTCAAGTTCTCTGTAATTGTTTCTAAGTTGCATTTTGTCTACAAGAGCAGTGGGTTAAGAAGGACTTGTCAAAAGAACAGAACATATCAGTATCACTTGTAGTTGATAAATGAGTTGAGAAAGCTTTTTCCATGTCATGACCAGTTACAACAAATTACTAAAGTAAGAAAGGATTTAATATTCTCTATCAACGAGAAAACTACTTTCAACTAAAAAATGGCAAACACGAGAAGTATGAGAGAACACAGCACATTACCCAGACAGATTTAATTAAGGCAAAATGCTGTCTTCTGCTCCCAGCTTGTCAGTATCATATACTTCTGTGTTTAGAAGACCTCAACTCTGATAAAAAATGAGAAGGGGATAGAAAAGAAAGTCCCCTCAGTCAGAAGAGTGTGTGTCCCAGATTTAGGGTGTGTGAGGGGTGAGTTTCCTCATTAACAGTAAGCCAGAGTACACATCCTGACAAATCACAGGAAATACTGAGTGTTCAGCACCAAGAACGGAGAACGGAAATCCAGGTTACTTTTCCAACTTGGATGAGATAGAATCTAATTTAAGGACAAATTGTAAGAAATCCGTCCAACAAAAACTTCAACTGCAGTAAAATATTTTTTCTTAGTATCTCTCGGGATGAAAAATTTCACTGTGCAACTTTTTAAGCAATGTTATTTGTTGTTGTATACACATAGTTTAGTCTCCTCTTCCTGTTTCTCAATTAAGTCAAGCAAATGAGCAACACAGTTAAAGGAGCAACTACTTGCTGCATCCTTCCCAGCCATAAGTAGAATTATCAATGCAACTTGCAGATGTGGACACTACCTCCAGCTTCAATACCAGCAACCAACACCTACAGAACTTGCATGACTTAAAAAATCTGTCTGCCCTTACATTTACAAAGATTGACCTTTGTGATGGTCTCAGGTCTCAGAATTGTGGAAGGTCTATGTTACAGAACCTGCAGCAAGAAACAGGCCTGTATCTGACGAAGCACTGAGTTCTGCTGCAGAGTTAAAATTGCTGTATATAAATGAAAGCATAGGAGCTCTGCAGTAGACCAGCTGAACACCCACAACATTTTCCAGATTCAGCCTTCTTCAAGGTATGCATGCAGTAGAGAAGCTGCTTCAGTTTCCATTTCCTCCAAAAGAAATTGAATTGAGATATGGAAATTGAGAGCTTCCAAAACATGACTTTTCCAATGTCCTGCCAGAAGCCGAAAAACATAGCAAACAGAAGGAGTAGTTAAACATAGAAATAAAACCTTACCGTGTCTGAACTTCCTTCCAGCAGTATGTTGATTGCTCTGTTCACATCCCCATTACAATCATGTAGTGCCACTATGCATTCATCCTGGTTTTTCCCCGTCACTTCCATAAGCTGTCAGTAAAAGTTAGTAATGTTAAAATAACTAAATTACCATAAGAAAGTAAGAGCTAGTACGACCACAAATTATAACCAAGTGCATAAATACCATGTCAGAGTAAATTAATATCCTGAATAAAGTAATCTGCATTTTACAGATCTGCTCAGGATTCAGACAAGAGAGGAAGAAGCACAAATTAACTGGTAACCCAGGAAGTACTCTTTCATATTTATTTTGTTCTGTATGCTTGCAGCAAATGCTGCCACATACAGAAATATGAGCATAAAGATGTAATGGACCACAATAGTTTCAGTATTATCCTATCTCCCTCTCCACCAAACTTGCCCCTCTTTATCCCAGTATGAGAAAAGATATATAGCAAGACATGGCAGAGAACAGACCCACCCAGAAAACCATCCAGATTAAGAAATACATTATTTTTCAGACAGACTAGCTCCCTTGATCCATTTCAGCATAAGGCCACAGAGTCAGAAGCTCATTAAGAAGACCTAGCTGTGAATTACACTCCTTTCACTCATGGTGTATATCCTGAAGAGCATGGGACAGAAAAAATCTGTCATGGGGTGTTCAACAACTTCATCCAAAATAACAAAACCTACATGAGCTCAAGAGACATATGCAGAAGGTAAAACGTATTTTATGCAAAACTTAATTCATCTCCTTTCCACCAGCACAGCTACAAGCACTATTTATGAGGGTTATCTGGCTTCACAAAGATTTCATTTTTGGCACAGCAACAGAACTAGTTTGTAACAATAACAACAAAAACCATCTAATAATGCTTTATAGGAAGTTTTAGAGATTAAAAGAAACCAAGAAATCTGATCCTTTGCTGCATTTATGCATTCAAGCTAACTCTTCCCTCCTGAGTATACTCCTAGGTTCTTCATGAGCTGTGATGCATTCCCTAGGACAAAATGAGCAATAGGCACAACAGAACAGAAACACATATTGTCAGGACTGCTTGAACTAATGGTCTCAGCTGTAATTACGTAAAGAAAGCTTGATTATCTAGTACCCAACACCACGGTAGAGGAAAAGGTGTGAGATTTCATTTATACACTGTAATTCTATCATTTTAAAGCATACACAGATCTGTGAGGTCAGATTATTTATTTTTTTAAAAAAAACACCTTGATTCACCTGTAAGCTACCATTAGACTTTCACTTTTCCTGAAAAACTCCCAAGATACTAGCAAACTCAATTTACACAGGTGATGTTTTTCTCATGTGCATGTACACGTGGACAAGCTGAATGCATTCTTTATTCTGATAATCATTAATCATCAGGACAATACTAGAGATACACTGAGGAAGATATATCAGCACAAATGAGTTTTGGCTTATGGGTTACAAAGGAAAATGCACTGATATAACTATACAGTCCGAGCTGTATTACTATAAAATTTCTAGTAAACAGACTTTACAGTGCACTATAAGAGCACCTTTTCCTAGTTAAACTTACATCCTTCTGAAAAAAGTTTATCTAACCTAGAAACATGCTCTTGCTCCAAAATGTAAGCCAGCTCTAGAGCATTTTATTGTGGGGCAAAAAGACGTGTACCATAAGAAACATACTTGTTTCACTTTGTCTTCAAAATCTGCATCATTCTTATCGTAGATCATCTGAGCGAGGCGAATCTGTTCTGCTGTTGCCTGAAAAAAGATAATATCTAATAAAGTACACAAAAATTAACTATATCTTTAAGACGTATACCCTGCTTTTTAAGCAGTGTCCCTGTTTTTTTCCAATGGGTTCTCAAAAAGAACATGTACAACAAGCACAGAGATACCATGGGGAAAGGATCAATATATTTTCTATTCTATTTATAGTTTTAAATGTTGGGATATTCTATTTGGGGTAGAAGCAATTTCAACACATTCTAATCTATTTGAAAGACAGTTGAAGGTCACCACACTGAAAGACCACCACATAGTAATACAAAAGGACCAGGGAAGACTGAGTTTTAGCATTAATGCTTTTAATTTTATTTAGGATCTACTACTCCAGAGTTAAGAGTTTTATTGTAACAAGCCACAGCTCTCCCAAAAAATACCTGACTCTGTAGTTTTATGAGCACTGAAAAAGACTTGAGTCATGTCTCAAGACTTTGCCCATGAACAGCTGCACTGTTTTGTTTTTTTAACAAGCAAATACTGGTCTCTGAAAACTGCTAAAGGAACTTGCTATTGATGAAGTATCTGGTGCTTCTGCAACATTTCTGGACAAAAATGCACACTGGCAACTTGCACAAAAGCTGAGAGACTGAAAGAGATGAAGTCAAGTATGATAAATCCAAAGACACTGTGGTTGCCCCTGAGAGAAAAAAAACTGTAACACCGATGTCACATCACACACATCACTCTTCATAGTGTGGCATCTGCAGCTTATGAACTGCACTTCCAAGAAAATACTAAATAACAGAGTGTACTACAACATCCTAGACCTCATTTGACTTCTGCTCAAAGAGAAGAGGCTACTGTTGCATTTAGAGAAAGCTGATACTGAAGAGAGCTAGGACCCACGATGCTGCTGCTGAGACTGCAGAGTTCTTCTTTATCGACTAAAATCAGCTCATCCACTGGCATTTTTGACAGAAAGGATTCACCCTAGGCAGCTGACTGAATCTCATCACTTGCCATCCACAAAAACAAGATACACACATGAAATTCTGTGCCTTACAAGGTCAGACCTAATCAGGATCAGACTGTTTAGCTTCTGGAGTTTATCACAAATGGAAGCTCTAGAGGGGGTCACCAAGCATAAACGCTGAGAAGAGTCTATAAATTACTCCAACGTACACCACCAGCTGCTTATTTGCTGAAAAGTTACTGCAGCTGTGACAGTTCGTTGAGGAAAGTGACATCTGTGCTCAGCGACAATGCTCCAAGAGAATCAGCATTTGTAACACAGTTACATACTTTGAGTTACTTCACCTTTTCAGCGCCTGGTATGTCACTCCACTGGGTAACGGGGAGGTCCTGCTCGAGAACTCCCCAGTTCCACCTACCACAGAAGCCACCCTGTCAGTGTGGTGCTCTGAGTAAAGGAGTTTGCTCTTGGTGACAACTGCTGAGAGCTCAGCAGACAGCAGAACCAAAATGTCTGCTGGTTTCAGGAATTTAAGTCTTGTTGGTCTATCTTCTCATTCTGATTACAGCCTCCATAGGCACACTGCAGCTTTTAAACAAGTGAAGAGATTTTCTTTGAAGATATCCAGAGCAAAAACATTCAGACAATATAACTTCTGTAGAGACATGATGGCATATTTTACCAAAAATCAAGAATCCACCAAAATTTATTTTTTCTGTAAACAAATGTTTTCTTCAAGCCCACGTTAGAAGACAATGACATAACAATTATAAAAGAATTACAAATGCGTGACAGCATCTTCAGCTTTCCTGTGTAAGCAAAGAGCTTAGAAACTTGTAGATGCAATACCACTCATATTTATGCCAGTGGATTACACCCAGATGGAACTGAAGATTCAGAAGGAAAGAAACAATAACAAAAACCACAAGATGACTACACAAACATCAGTGTCACAAAAAATTCTGGCCTTTCTCTAGCAAGTGGTGGTTCTTTTTTTTTAAGGCCCCATTGTTAGAACAGATGCTGTAGTATCCTAACCAAAAGTATAATTAAGTTTCAATTGTGACTAAGAAAGTAGTAGTATTTTAAGATAGCTTGAACTTCACTCAGCTTTACAAGACATTATACCTTTTCCATAACAGTGGAAGAAATTTCAAACAAAAAACTTCAAACTACCAGAAAACGGAAGTGTGCAAAATATGAGATTAAGTGACAGTAACAGACATAGATCTTACAATAAAATGACACATTTATTATCCAGAAGCAAGGCAAAAGAAACATTATGCAATTTGTTAAGTAATTTAAATTATTATCAATGTGATATTATGAAAGTGGAATCTCCATTTGGGAAAATGACACTCTTCTATATTCAGAAAAATGAATCAGTGGGGATTAAACAGGTAAATCCCCAGACACCTGCTGATCTGCAAAGACTATCTAAGCAGAAAGGTCCATCTGATATCTCAACACTAAAATATACATTGCATTAAAATGCAACTGCTGTGTATGAAATAACCTGCTTTTCCACTGAAGTGATCGAAGCAGTATCTATTATGCAAAAGGTAGATTAAATAGATAAAATGTAGAAAAAGGTCTTAATGGCTAAAATCAACAAATCCCATAATCTTGAAAAGTCCTTCAGTGAGACGTCATGACCGTACTCATCATAATTTTTTTTCCCCTTTTAACAGCAGAAATTACCAGTGTTCCAGCTTGTGCCACTTTCTCTCCAAGGAGAGCTGGTTTCTACCTCTCCTATACCCTTCCATGAGGTACCTGAACAGAATACACACTTGCCTTGTTTTATTAGGGCTGAACAAACCCAGATCCCTGAGCCACTCCTCATTCGTTCTGTGTTTCAGTCTAACAACCATCTTTGCAGCTTTTCACTGGACTTGCTCCCATTTGCCTATGTCTGCCTTGTGCCAGGGAACCCAACCAGGCAAAGCATTCCAGTGCTCTCTTGCAAAATGTTGGAAAAGGGGAAGCCATCACTTCTGTCAGGCTGTTCACCATAATCCTGCAGCCTTGTTTTAAAATAAAACCAAATTCAACTCATCTGTTGAAAGTAATTTTCTAAATCCACACAATAGCATGAATCACCACTATGCCAAGTGCTGCAACTCAAGGAGATGACAAGGGTTTGAAGTCACATAATTAATACTGTGCAAAACAGACCAATAAGGTCTCCATATTAAACACCAGTCCAAAAAACAAGGGAAGGCAGTCTTTCCCCGTAGAGCACCTCTAGATTGATACAGACTCTGCCAGCAAAGAACTTAGAGCTTTTGAATGGAGACGAAGTTTGAGATGTATCCGTCAAGAGAAGACTGAGTTGCAAGAAGCAGAAACATTCTGCACTCTTTGTAACACAGACAAGCACACAACTACGGCAGCCAAGAAACAGTGGCAGTAGGGTGAAACCTAATTTCCATCTAACCGATACTGAAAATTTTAGTCTGCTAGTAGATGACCACTTCACTTCCTGGGGTCACAGCAAAAGAAGTTCAGGATTTTGTGACTTGCAGAGACATGGAGTCATGCTGTAGAACACAACATGCATCTAATGAAGCTTCTCCCGCCCATTCACATTTCTCTCTTGACCAGAAATCTTCCAGCATCAGGAGGCTGGCAGATAGAAGAGCTGAGATCTGAGGACTGTGAGGTCACAGGACAGAAATCCTGACACAGGCACAGAATTCCTCACTGATAGGAGACATTGCTAAAGAACACAAAACTCGTTTAGAAAGAACTTAACACTGTCCTGCATTACTGAATAATTAAAGCAAGTAATCAGGCATAATCTTCCAAAAGCAACCATGTATTTTCATCCCATCTTTTTGCAGTTTTCACTGACTCAGGGAAGAAATTTGTATCACTACATTCTCACTTTCAAGTCAAAGAAGTTGATACAGTAGCACATACCTGAACTACTTGTTTCTGTGGTTGTGTTGGCTGTGTCGCTGAAATTTGCATTTTGTCCCGAGTGCCCCGGGTACGTTCACTGCCCACCGAAGTCATCATATACAGTATATACAAAACAATGTATGTACAAAATACAAAATCTGAAAGAAAAAGAGAGCATGTGTTAAGGTGGTACTGATTCAATAACCAAATAACATAAGCGCAGTAATTTGAACTCCTGCCTTTACCAGTGGTTCCATACAAAGACTATGAGAAAGTAGCTTTAATGCACTGGTTTTGGATTTACCGCAGGTTTTTTTACACTAAAGGGAGAAATGCAGTGGATAGAAAGCCTTTTCATCAGCTCACTGGGATCCGTGTCCATTTGTACTTCAGAATATCACAGCTTTTTCCAGTTATTTAACATACAGACTTTTCTATTGGCTACTCTGATGTTAGCTCCAGCTGCATCACTCAGACTTCCTTGGTACCTGTTGTCTAGTCTTGATGCCTGGAATTTAACTGCTTGCACACCCACTCAGAACACTACACAGGTATTACAGAAAAATCTTGCTCATGAACTATATAGTTCCTCTTTTCCTTTTTCTTCCCCTTTTCCTACACGTACATGGAGGTCATGGGCAATCCCAACTCCTCATCTCTCATTTATAAGAGAAATGATGATTAGATTTAAATCCAGCCTCTATAGCCAGTACTTTTGTTTTATTCTCCCTCATATTTACAGGAACAATTTATAAAACTACCTATCACCCTGCTTTAAACATACTGTGGCTGTATTGCAACAGAGAAACCCTAAAGAAACCCCAAATCCCCCCACACATCATTGTTATCCCATCTGTGGCTCTCAGCTTTCATTCTTATTTGTTCTCTAGTATTAAAATTATTTTGAAACAAGACATTATTATTCCCCCTGTTTGTACAGCATTTAGCACAGGACTATGGTAACTGGAAACACATCTTTCAAATGGTTAGATTACTCATGTTCAATTATCTGCTTTCTGTCCCCATAAGGCTAGAAAGTAAAACTGCAAACTTTTGGAAGTAAGGACATACCTGGGCAGAAAGAGATGTGCAAAAAAGCAGCAGAGTGCTTTTACTGCAGTCTCATCATATGAGCAAGCCTCAGCACAAAATTTGCTAGGGCGACAGCTGGCTAGCACCAAGCTCAGTTTACAATAATCACAGAATCACACGATAAGCTCAGCTAGAAGGGAACCATCAGGATCATCAAGTCCAATTCCTAGCCCAGCACAGGACCATTCCCAGAAGTCACACCATGCATCCAAGACTATTGTCCAAACACTTTCTGTGCCCGGTCAGGCTTGGTGCTGTGACCACCTCCCTGGAAAGACTGTTCTAGTGCGCAACCACCTTCTAGGTGAAGAACTATTTTTAATATCCAAAGAAAAGCGCTCATGACACAACTTCAGGCTATTCCCACTGGTCACCACAGAGAAGAAATCAGTGTCTACCTCTGCATCATCTTCTTCCCCTTACAAGGAAGTTGTAGATGCAATGAGGTTTCAATCAGTCTCCTTTTTCTTCAAGAAGATGAGCACACACTGCAATCTCATGGACTGGGACCTGTTCAACACCCCATTGAATCACTGGTAGTCACAAGTAAAGCACATTCAACAATTAAAGCTGCAATGAGATGTTTAAAAACCAATTCATGATGCTCTGGAGCCTCATCTACTGCCAGAAGAACAATTAACTACATTATCACCTAAATCTCTTCCTTACTTAGAAATACATTCTTGTTAGTTAAAACTGAACCCTGACATTGAATTTATTTACATACTAGCTAAAGTATTCAATAATGCTTTAATGTCTAAGAGGAAAGTATATTTCCATAAGAAATATACTTTACCAGGAACTGACTGCTGTTATAAGCTGAATTGGAATACTGTATTTCTACAACTTTTTGAATGCACTGAACACAGCTAATCTATCTCACAGTCCCTTAAAGTAGTCTAAGTGCATTGTGTTCTATGGTCCAGAACACACACCTTCAGAGCACTGAGTCTCACAAAAAGGCCAGACACAGCCAAAACAAAAAGCTACCTGACCTATTGACACCATGTTCTGTGAAATACAGAGCAAAATATAAAGTCGATGTGGAGACACTCTGGACAGCAAAATCAACATTTATCATTGACTATCTGCTCATGGTCATTCACTGATACATTAAAGATGTATGGACATTTTGAGTTGAGTCTGTAATAGTATTATTTCAGCTGTTTGTGTTAAAATCTGCTTTACAGGCTTAGCTGACTGGACTGACAACATCCAGAAACGGCAACTTAGATAGACTTATAACGACCTTTGAGTTAGCTTTTCGTTTGGTTGGGATTTTTTGTTTCTTTCTTCAAGGATCAGACTGCTTATCACAATTTGAACCTAGCAAAATGAGCAATGCAAAAAGCCCTGAATAGAGTACACAGCAGAACACTAACTTCTCTAAAAGACAAGCCCATAGTTTTATATACGGTTGTCTAGAATCAGTCCATTGTGACTTGAGATTTGTTGAGAAAATGCAATGCCATTAGGTCTCAATTTGTTCATAACTCATGAATTACCATCATATTTATTATGGTACCTAGGAATTTTGATATTTCTGTCAGTGCAATTTTCCCCAATATCATGAAAGCCACTGAAAATATGATTCATATTTTAGACAGGACAGCAGACCACTTATATTAAAGAGTTTACTGTGTATTTGCAAAGCACATTGTGAACTACACCCTACACTTTAGCAGCCAGGCAACCTATGGTTCCTCGGCAAATTATGTCTCTTCTCCTTTTCCTAGCATGTTCCTGTGCCACCACTGCTTTAGCCATATTTGTCCTTCAGGATGAAAGGATATTTTAAGAAAAAAAGGCAGGCACACAAATGGCTGAAACATCTCCTGGGAGATGAAATGGCACAGAAAGATCAGGCTGCTGTGGGAACAGAGCTCAATCAACCTGAACAGCATAACAGGGTTTTTAGAGGGGATCTTCATCTTCCTGACTGTATGGTACATGAGCAGCACAATTTAGCAGGTTGGAACCAAAAAAAACCCAAAAAAAGTAAGCAGCAGTATGGACTTGTACTTGCCTCAGGCAAGTGTGGAACCCCACACTCATTTTGACAGTCCCCAACAAGTCAATAAGGACATGTTACAACCCATGAGACAAAATCTAGTCTTCTTAAAAGCACAACTGGCAGCCTGATAAAAAGAGAAGTTACAAAATACTGTTATTTTACTTCCTCTTAAGTTGGCTCTCAGTGTCGACTGGCAGTGTCCAGACACAGCAGCTGGAGGGCCATGCTCCACCTCAGACACTGCACTGAGCAGGGACACTTGGCTGAGGTTTCACGCCCAACCACACCTACTGCAGAATAAGGAAGCAACAGACAGCAGCAAGCCACTGTCTCCAAATTACCACAGTGACAACAGTTTTGAGCCTAAGTGGGATATTATTAATTAATTAAATGGGGCTGAACAAGAATATTTCCTCACTCACAAAGCAGTGTCTTATTCTCTCCAATGTCTCATATTCATCAAGTCTGTTTGGCAGGCTGCTACTATAGTAATGAGCAGGGTATCACAAACTGATGAACTTAATTTTAACTGCAGATCAAATGAGGAAATAAGATTTGAGACTGGGAGGAAGAAAACTCTCAATTAAAATCTGTTTAATAAAGATTTTAAAAATATTCAGGCAAGCAGATGCTTCAGTTTCCATGTCAGAATCCAGTGCAGTGCCTAAGTCCCCCATCAGCAGTTAATATCTGTCCTTGCAGACACTGCAATTCTAATAAGCAACCAAAATAGCTGTATTTGAAGAAACATATAAAACATTAACTGAAACTAGTACTAGTTCATCACTTTCTTAATATTAGTACAGAGCACTAGTGAAAAAAAAATAGGATAAAGTATTAAAGAAAGAGAGAGGGCTTCCCAAAACTCTTGTGTAAACAAGTGACTGTATTCTCTCATGACAATTAATAAAAATGCACAAGATTCCTGTAAATGTCTTTCTTTTTTCACTAGTACCCACAGATCAAGGTTGTCTGTACTAATTTAAAAACAAACGACAGGCAAAACCCAAACAAAATTAAAATTTAAAAGTATCTTTATCATTAGTTAAGACTTAATTTTTAAAAATTCCGTTTAAAAGGGATAGCAACAGATGAACCTAAGATGAAAGCCATTCCAACTCTCAATCTTTCGTTTGTTTTAGTTTTCTGTCTGTACAGCAAGTTTTAGTCCAATGATCTATACTACAACTGCAGCTCCAGTAAAATGTGTAACACAGAATGGCAAAGATTATTCTAGCTTACAAAAGCAGTAACAAATTATTATAATTTAACCCTTCCTAAAACTACCAAATTCCCTGCGTCCAAAGTCTTTACCCCTTGTCTTATTCAACACATTTAATTGCGTTTCTGCTTTGGATTTTAGAAGAGAGAGGCAAATAATCAAAGATTAATTGAACACATATCAACACAAAAAAGGTTTTTAAAGCTATTATAATGTTTTCTGTGATCCGTTGTTCAATCTTCCTTCAGCAAGAACTCTAGGCCTTTTAGCCTCATTGAAGTCAGAAAATGTACAGATACAGGCAACAAAAACTGACATGGTTGCAAGCCCCCAAGACACAGGAAATGTATTACTGAACTTCCAGGAACAGACCAGGCACAGCAATAGCAGCTGACTTTCAAGATTGTTCTAGAAGTTAAATATTCACTTCCATCAGTTGAAAAAATCTGCAGTTTCAATTCCTTTCCTGAGGCAGTCTCAAGAAAGTTACTTTCTTGATTCCTGAAGAAGGAGCTGTGCTAAACCATGGGAAGACCTCTGTGAACATCTAAAAATGTGATTGCTTTTTTATATTCAAGATAAAAAGCTACCAGTCAAAGATTTCACACAGTGACAGGGTTGGGAAAAGGCTGCAGGACACATCCTCAAGAGGGCATATCTACTGTACATGTAGAGTGAGCTCAGATTTTACTGCTCCAACTGTAGAATTATATGAGTATGAGGAAAAAGAACAGTGAGAAAAAATTACATCTGCAAAGTATCAATATAATGCATTTCCCTTGAGTGCTGTTGTCCAAAGCGTCTCACCATCTTTATTGCTGATTGAAACA